GAAATGAAACTTCCTTGGAAAAAGTAAATAGCGAGGGTGTAAAGCCTGTTGCGCTAGCAGAGCGTTTGCTCATCCTGCTGCAGTTTGCAGTGTGTGACCAGATACGGGTGGATACTTGTTGTCTTCCTTCCTCTTTATATTTCCAGCAAAAACTTAGCGAAAAGAATAACAGCATCAGAGAAACAGAGAGGGGGGAAAAAAAAAAAAAAAAAAAAAGGATGAGGTGGGCCGGCCCAGCAGCCAGCCTCAGGAGATGGTGAGACAGAAGAGCTATTCATTCTGAGAGCCAGTTGCTCTTCGCCCTGCTAGATTATAAATTGGACACCTTATTAAGAGCTGATCCTCCAGCAGCCCCACCCAGGGCTGTGCTCATGCGCTTAACCAGTGGAACGTAATCCCATTTCACTAGTGATGCCTGTTACTGGATAAGCACATGTGCAAGCGTGGCAGAGGATACAAGGAAAAAAGAAGCAGCACTCCGTCTGTTTTCTGAATTGTCAGTTTAAGAAAAGAAGATAAGAGTTTTGGGAGAGAATGGGAAGGAGGATGGTTTGCACTAAATTTTGGACACTTTCGCTATGATGCTAGCTGCCTTACCAAATTATTAAACCGGCACAATTTTTGTTTTTATTTTTTTGCTTGTTTTCTCAGTCATAACACAAAAATGCTGTCTCTCTGGCATGATGTGCCAGCCCAAATGTTGCTGCTGGAATCAAGCACTGGAGGAGCCTGACAAGATATAACCCCACCAAAGCAGAGGCTTGGCGTGAGCCTCTTTGGTGATTCCAAGTTTCAGTTCTGATGGTTTGCTTGGCCACTTACTTCTTGTCACATGAGCCCAAAGGTCTGAACAAATTTAGGCAGATTTCAAGTTGAATGGTTGTTGCAGTGAAAATTTCATGGAAACTTCTGTTTAACATTTCAGCAACGTTTTATCAAGTTTGGCAAGACTTCCAGCTTTTCAAACTTCACACACCTTTTAACCATTTGAAAAGTTGTCTACCTTGCATTTGAAATGCGCAAAGTTACTGCCAGTTGTTGTCAGAAAAAAAAAAAAAAAGAAAGAAAGAAAAAAAAAAGCCTGATATAGGTTTACTTTTGTGCTGAAGAAAACAGGATGACTTATTATGAACCTGTTTTAGTGTCTCTGAACGGTATCCCTGCTCATACATGCATATTTTTCCTCCCAGGCAAGACCAGCTGGAGGATTCATGGAATGCTAGATGCATCACAAAATTCTGCATTGTTGGGGCATTTATTCTGAATAGTGTATAGATACATGTGGGGTTGGTTCCCCTATTGGGGCACCTCTGCTTTACTTTCCTTGGCAGGGAATTCAAATATAGTTAGATGCATTGCAAGTGAGCAGTGGTCAGGAAATGAAAAAGTAACATGGAAGTGCAACCTTAAAACAATGTCCTCTCCCTGTGCAGCAGTGAGTTATGGACACAGATTCAGGTGTATTTCGGTGGTATCTCAACTTTTTGCCTTGTTTTGCATCTCATATAATTGAAAAGCAATCTTTGGATTTGTTCTAGGAGGAAATACATTTCTGTCAGATCTAATTATCATCAGTGACTCATTTGTCATTTGGAAATGTTTGTAGCATTCTCTCCAGGTTCTGAGTTGCTGGCTATTACTGGTGTGTTGGAAAGCAATGACTCCTCAGATGTTCCTGTATACCTTTATCTATTTGCCTGCAATCATTTTATGAGCTCATGAGAATGAACACAAGACATCTTTGACATCCCTCTTTCTCATTTCCTCTCCTATTTTTTTACATAAGGTGCTTTTGCCAATAACTCTTTCCTGGTAAAACAAAGCATCTGAATTCATGTTAGGTGTGTCTGTCTGTATGTGTGATTCCATGTGCCTTCCCTTCTCATCTCCGCAAAAATTTGAGCCTGTTGATAACAGAATACAGATCTGAAAGTGAAGTTCCTGTGAATTTGAAAGAGAGGGGCAGATGTGTACATGAAAGAGCCTGTTTGTGCTGAAGCATCAACATGCTACCAGCCCAGCTCACCTTTTCATCAGACACCAGGGAACTCCCAGTGGTGGCTCCTGGAAGTCAGACTTCCTCCAATCTCGCAGTCGTGGACTCCTTGTTCATGCTGATGATTTTGGTACAGTTGGAACAGAGAAAGGAAAAAAAACAACTGGATTTTCTCTCTTGTTCTTGCACTTCTGAGATTTATGGGTGTCTCTTGCAGGTTGTGTCCTAGGCAGCAGGGGATCTCTGTCCCTGGTGCACACACCCTCCAAAGTGGGCATTTATTTTGTTACAGAGCAGTATAACTGTCATGTTTCAACAGTGTCATGTTTCAGAGGTGTGGATGCCCTTAAATCAACTTTTGCTAAAGTCATGGAGGGTTTGAAAATAAGAGCAAAGCCTTGAATTTAAGCTGGGACTGAGTAGTCAGCAGAGCAAAGAGCAGAGCTTAAGCTTGTTTGGTGGTCTTGTGCTGCTGAGTAAATGGCCAGGAGCATTCTTGCATGGGTTTTTCTAAGTCCATTATGTTGCAGAAATAAAGCATTAGGGACAAGTCCAGTCTTTTCAGTTATCTGACTGGAAATTGTGCTGAAGGATTGAGGCTTTTGCAGCAACAGTTATGGGGTTTTCAGGATGATGGAATTCAGATTAACACTAAATCTTGAGTTAGTCTTAATGCCAGCAATGGACATTATCAAAGTGTAAAATACTTTCCTATGTCATCGTCAGCCCAGGCTCTTGCAACAATTCAGCTTATGCCAACTTCATTCATTTGCTGTTCTTAGTCAAACCCTTGAAGAGTTGAGTAATGGTGTTATTTGCATGGGAGGTGAAGATAACATGGAGATGGGTGTCATATGTGTACTGCTGACAAGTCAGTCTACAGTGCCACTGAATCTTCTCCAGAGGCTTTATATAGATATTGAACAGGCTGGGTGAGAGGAAAAACTCTTGAGTTATTCAGCAGGTGGAAAAGGTTTTGGAGGTTAAGGAAAGAGCAAGTGTTTATCATAAATCTCTTGAGTGTACAAGAGATTTATGTAAGGGATGTCTGAAGATGTACCAGCTCAGTTCCATAAGGCTGGGGATGGCATTTATTTTCAAACAGCTGAGCTGGTTGGAAATTTTACAGCCATTCCAGATGCTTGCTACCAATCCTCTGCTGATGGCATCTTTATCCCTTGCCCTGCTCTTAGGAAAGGTTGTCCAAGGTCTTCCTATCTGTCAGGTGAAGCCTTTCAGATAGTTCTAAGTGCAGGCAAGGGTAGTGCTTTTCAAGCCAGCTGACATTCCTTATATTTAAGAGAGAGCACTTTTACTAACACTGCTTTACCCTGAGTTTTAGAAAAGAGGGAGAGGAGAGAAGGCAGCTCAATTCTTCCCACAGAACACAAACAGTTCCTGCATTGCCTCCTACAGGTCTGAAGATGTGCGTGGGACTGGATGCATCTACTGGAACAGACTATATTACTCCTGTTTCATGTGCATGTGCACTTCTAAATTTTGTGCCAAGCATGTGTGTAAAATATGTGTGAAGTATATTTGTTACATAAGCAACTAAAGTTGTTTATATAGAACTGTGTCAACCTCCTGTGTAAGCAAAGGCTCTAGGATGGGTACACAGTGGGGTAGAAACCCAGGTAACTATGAGATAATTATCTACAAATTTACTAACAAAGAATTTACAAGAAATTTATATTAATTATTACGTTATTACTGCTGTGGTTAAAGCTGAACCAGTGAGGTATAATAAAATCTTCAAGAATATCCAGTTGAGGCAATGAAGAAAGCTCCTGTGCTCAAGGGATCATTGATAAATGGGAGGAAGGAGGAAGAAAATGGGCAGGTGGTTTTTAAGAGATCCTGTAGTTCCTACAGGCTTTCCACATCCCAAAATATAGAAAACTGTCAAAGAATCCTTGTTGCATGCCCAGACAAAAAAGAGCAAGCTTTAATACTGTGTGGCCTAATGGTAAATGTGTGTGTGTGCACGCTGATAGTGCTTTAACCCAGAGAGACCTGCCAGTACTCACCACTACGATTTTCAGCTAGTGAAATGTGCTCTCCTTTAACAAATGGTAACCTCTGAGGACTGGTGAGACTCAGAAGCCTTCCCAGCATCCATGAAACAACCTGTAGCCTTTCTGAAATGTGGAGACTGGGACACAGTTTCTAAATTCCTCCTTTCTTGAGGAAAAAAACCCTACTTTTCATTTACAATTGCTCATTTAATGTATGACACAAACCTGTCAAAATGGACCATCTCTAATGTCTGAGCCTCACTCTAAATGAGATCCCTAATTTACTGATCATCCTGTTTCCGAACTGGGCCAGATTGGAGCATCCTACCTTAACAACAGCCTGAAACTCTAGCGGAATTTGGACTCTGATCCAAACTCAAGGCACAGGCTCTTCTCTGAATAAAAATAACTAGATCACAAGCTATTCTGGGGTGGTGACTTTTAGACAAGAAACGTAGGGCTTACATAGGTTTTTTACTCCTGTCAAATACCTCTGGATGCTGCCCTCCTTCCAGCCGATATTCCCAAAGTGCTCAGAGCCAAATAACCCTAACTGGAAGTTGGAAACTGTAGAACAACTGATATTATTCATGGTAAACACTGGTGGTTTTCTTGGTTGGGTTTTTTCCTTGCAGAATATTCTGCTACTCTGGTTGCTGCTGATGCTGATATAATTTCTGTCGTGGCCTGTGATGAATAGCATGAACAATGCTGGGTTGAGATAAGAGCCAACAGTGTGTTGGAAAGCCTTCTTTAAATATGAATCCCTGTGGTTCTGACTGTCTTGACAGAGAGGTGGCTAAATTGATGTGCTTGGTACCATTTACATGTCTGCCAAAGCTGCTGGTCACCATCGCCTTCTCCCCTCCCGTAGCACCTGCTGGCAAATCTTCTGGATTTTTTCCTGTTTACTTGGTTATTTCTAGTGTAGCGATAGGAATAGTTTCCATTCATGAAAAATGTGGTGGGATAGAGATGGTTATAAGGGATAGGAGGCGGTACGCTGGGACTAGGGAGCAAGCACTAAAATATGTTTTACATCCGTGGGAGCTGGCCGTGTGTGGTACCCCACCGAGAGCATTCCCACTGTGCTCAGCAGATGGATGATGGGAGGGGGTTTTTTTCTGTGTTTTAAGGTAAGAGCACTTTTCTCCTTGGGAGCTGCAAGCAGTCTGTGCACTTCAGTTACTGGAAAGCTCTGGACTGTGTAAATTATTATCCTGTTGGATCGAGGAGCAAACTGGTTTGCTTAAGATGTCACAGGAAGCTTTCAGCTTTGTCAAGAGCATAAGCTATATCTTCTGACTTGTAAATCTGGGCTATAATTGAAGAAGTTTTCTTCCTCTTGACACAGCTGGCCTACCTTCTCTTTGATATTATCCCAACTTCCCCTAATCACTGGGTGACATCTGATCTCTGTGACTTTTGTACAGGATCCAAGATCTATTGTACTTGGTCCAAGATCTCACCTTTCATTTCTGGCTCGTCTAATTTTGTTTCAGGCCCTGGCAAATCTGAGAGGCTCATCCCAAGTCCAGCTGCTGAGCCTTTGGAAAGCAGGGATGCATCTTGGCAGTGTATCTCACCACGGCATGGATATTTTCCTGGACCAGCCACAGGAATGGTCACAGTGTCCTCCACTAAACTCTAGTGTGGAGGATGGCTATTGCCACCCACACACTTCCTGCAATTTCATCTTAAACACAGTGATCTTTACTTGCTGCCTGCGGTTGGTATGTAAAGCTGCTTTCTGTAGGTTTGAAGCTGCTGCCCCCCTCCAAACTGGCTTTTGTTTTACTGTTCAGTTCAGTGATTTCAACAGAGAACTTACTAGCCAGTATCTAAGGTTTTATTTAGGGTCAAGCTAACATAGAGCATTGCTTTAGTCAATATAATTATTTTTGTTTTGTCTCTAATCTCACTAATTATTTTAGTGCTGTTGTCTCTTTATTCTCCCTGGTCCTTTAAGGGTTTGCAGTCATTCTTTTGGGCTATGGATATCATGGGCCAAATCCTGCCCTAATTTACACCTGTGAGTCCAATGGAGCTGCATACATGCACATGAGAATACAGTTAACAGGATACTGAAGTTGTTTGCCTGTTTTGAAAAGTTGTGTGGAGGATGAATGCTGAAAAATGTCATTTAGGATTATGTAATTCCTAAACCTGTAAATACTGATGTATAGATAGCTTCTCTCCTAGCTGCCTATTTTTATTGGTTGTAGAATATATGTATGTGTTCAAAAATTTAGGTGTTGTACTTGCTGTAGAACCCCCTACTGGAGTTACAATAATTTAATAGCAGCTTCTTACACTGTACAGCAGTTTTATCATCCTACCTAGTACTGAAGACTTATCTGCACCAGGGGATTTCACAGACTCAGAACTGCATTCAAATAATGCTTAATATTTATACAAGGGTGAAGATTGATATTTAGGTTTGGTTTTATTGAGGATTTTTACTGTTCAGAATTTGATTTGGCAAATTTTAAAATCCTCAGTTTTCTTACTTTCAATTTTTTTTTTTTTTTTTTTTTTTTTTTTTTTTTTTTGACTGGAAGCTTTAGTTAGAGTTTTGCAGCTTACCTAATACAATACAAGGAGACAAAATTACAATTCAAGTAGCTTTGAAATAGGAATAATAAAGCAGCTATGCTGCATTTAAACATGCTGTAAAATGTTTCAATGCACTCTACCAGGAACTTCTTGTTTCCCTGATTTGCTTCTTAAGGAAAATCCTGACCAAGTCAGCTGGATTTTGTGATGTGTTTTCATTTCAGCAAAACAGTATTCCAGCGGAGATTTCTTTTCCTGGTGGATTGAGAAGAGCAGGACCAGCAGAGCTGCCCAGGCAGAGGGTGTTATTTCAGAAGAAGAGCACTCCCTTACTCACAGAGAGGAGTGATCCAATATGCCTTCCGTCCGGGGGCAGGAGTGGGAAGGAGGGAGGAGAGGGGGAAAAAGGATGCTTCCTTCCCAGAGCTCGGGGCTGCTGGCCAAGAATGTATGTCTAAATTCAAGCCCAGTGAGTGCTGTGCCAGATCCAGAGAGTTTGGAGTCCCTTTGTCCAGAAGCTTGCAATCTGTGAGGGAGCTGCCAAATGGGATATGTGGCATCCATGTTATATATCTGATTCATGAAAACTGGTTCCTACTGAGCTTACTGTATGGCCTGGGGCAAAAGTACTTCTGATTCCCTACATGATGCAGGGATCAGCAGGCCACTGCTGTTCTCTGAAAACCCAGCTCCAATGGCAGCTCAGGACACCTCCTCCCTCGGGTCAGGCTGAGGCAGGTGCCGTGCACAGGGAGAGGAAAGGGTGCTGTGTTTGACCCTGCTCTCCCTCTCTGGGAAGGGAGGACCTGGTGCCTTTTGCATTTCTCCCCAGGCTGAACCATTAAGTCTGATGACAGAAATGAACCTTCCCCCCTGGACTTGAGCCAAAAGGCTTTTTTTTTTTTTTTTTTTCTCTCCCTTCCCCTCCTGTCTCTTTCATAACCGTCATTTCCCCGTATCTCTGGAACATATCACGTACTACTGTCATGTGCCGTAGGTGCGCACCCCGTTTTCTCTTCAGCTATGTCCTGCCTCCCATCTGTTCGATAAGAGCCCCTCCTTGTCTGGCTGATGCCTTTTTGCCACAGATGACAGGGTGGACTGAAGCCATTGCTCCTGCCCCAAAGGAGAGCCTCCACATTGAGGAGGGAGGGGAATCTGCTCTGGAAACACCACCTACAAGCCTCCATGTCAGCAGGGCTGCAGCAATTCCTGTGGGATGAGTGTCTGTGTTCCCGTGTCTCACTGGAAGGTTCAGCCAGTTGTGCTTGTGCAAACCTCTGGAGGGTTTCTGAGGTTGAGCAGGTGTCAGTGAGGACACAGCCTGAGTTGCAGAACTCCTGCGACAGGCTGTGCTGGACAGAGAGGGACCTCGCCTTAGTAACAATTGTTTTTGTGTTCCATGTGGTTGCAAAGTGAAGGACAATAGGCAGGGGGAACCCTGTTTGATGACACTTCCCAAGCCAGTGGTACCCAGTTTGGTTTCCCGTTTTTATACTAATGGATTCACATCAAATGCCAAGGTTGCTGAGGGCTGCCCATGGAGCAACTCTGATACAGGACATGCCATTGTAAAGCCCTGTGCAAGGGCATTGGTTCAGCCATGACTAGATCCAGGCCATTGCTAGAGAGATTAAAGGAGATGTGATCCCTCCATCTCTCATCCTCCTAACATCAGTGATGATCCCAGCACATGTTTCAAGAAGCTTTCTGAGGCTTCTTGTCAAATCTGTGCTCCGGCACTGACAGCAAGAGCTCTGGACCAGAAAACAAGAGCTAAAGCTTTTTCCTGGGACTGCCCCTGAGCAGCTGTGCTGTCTCCTGGGCTGCAGCTCAGCTGCCCTGGCTCCACAGCAGCAGCTCTGCTTGTCCCCTCAGCGTGTGCCAGGAGGCGGGTTTCAGCTGTGAAACAGAGCATGGTCTATCCTGTCCTTCCTGGGTCAGGGTCCAGAGAGCATGCCCTTTCCCTGCATCTCACCAGCACGGGAGATAACCTTTCCCCTGCACCTCACCAGCGTGTTCATCTTCTCTGTTCACATCAGGGCTGCTTTTTTCCTGAGCACAGCAAACAATTCCCTGCCTTTCTGTCCCATGCTGGCCTGGAGCAAAGCTTTCTGTGTGAGTCTCCCAGGCAGTGTGACTTGTTTCTAGCATGCTACAGGCAGGCCTCTATTCAGATGAATGTCCCTGTTAAATATGTATGAATCTGATTGACGACTTCCTAGCTGTCCAGGTTTTATTCCTTTTTATTAATTTGTGGATGCCTTCTGCTAAACAGGGAGTGCAACCACGTCTCAGTGAGTTTTGACTCATTGAGGGGCTGCCCTTAATCTGCCTGTCTTTAAAGCTTCTTCCCCTCCTCCTCCACTCCATCCCCCTCTGGCTCAGTTCCCCCCTCCTCTCTCTGCAGCTGCTGGACAGCTTTGTGACCACCAGTTGGGATGGCTGTTTGCCACTCTCCCATGATTGCTGCCGTGTGCTGTTTCCCTTATGCCCGTTGTGCAGTCAAAGAGGAATTCTCCTCTGCAGAGAGAGAAGCAGGCACAGTTGTCTCTGGGCTGAACTGGGAGCTTGTGCTTAGCTCTTACTCCGTGAAAAGCCTGGCAATATTTTTTTTTATGGCGACCATGTAGACTTGGCAAGCAGCAGCAGCTTTCTCAGCCCAGCTGTTGGCCGCCTCTCTGCCGCAGGTTTTTGCAAGCAGAATGTGCTCGCACCTCGGCCATGGCCACGTGGAGCCTGGCAGCTTCCCAAGAGCCACCGATGCCACAACTGCTGCGGGAGGATGGTCGGCAGAGCATCGGGAGATGCTTTGGGGTGGACAGGATTTTGTCCTGCTGGCTCCAGTCAGGAGATGGGATGAGTGACAAGGGGCAGCCTTGCAGCTGGGGGGGCATGTTGATGCTGCAACAAGTGGTGAAGCTGGAACAGGAAGCTGCTGCTTTACAAACAGATTTATTGTTGTGAGTGGGGCAAAAGTCCCCGGGACAGCGGTGCCTGTGTGTGGGCAGGTTTGACTTGTATAACCTGCCTTTGCTGGGACTTTGGATGGAATTTTCAGTGGCACAAAAGGAAGTTCAGTGCCTGAATCCTGCTGTGATTTTGCCTTTTAAGCTTAATGTTGCTGTTTCCCATCCTCTTCAGGCCTCAGGGAACTGTCCCAGGCAGGCCATGCTTGCAGTGATGTGAAGAAAGGACAGGTTTTGGCAGAGAGACCTCCAAGTGCGCATGCTGAAGTGGTGGCTGGTCAGAAACAACACCAAAGCTCAGATGAAATCAAGGACTTGGAGATTTTGCATCCTGCCCCTGCTGCATGTGTCCTACCAGAGTGTTTTGGGGAAGCTGATGAGCCAGCCAATGTCGTGGACATAGGAAAAAGGACAACATCTCCAGTGCCCTCTCATGTACCCTGAAGATTTTGTACTGGGTGGCAGTCCCCCCAGAGGGATGTGCACAGGCCACCTGGATGGCCAGGTGATGTCAAATGTCCTTGTCCTGCCTAATTCAGGAGGGCATGAGCTGAAAAAAGAAGTGTTTTTCCCTTGTGTGTTTTCCTGGGAGTAGTAGTGGCACTAGCTCTGCCAGGGATCTTGCTGCGGCCTCTGAGCTACTCCAGCCTTTGACAGGGGTGTTGATTTCCTGTTGACTCCCAGCCAGAGCCACCTCTGAAATGGTGGTATGGGTGAGGCTGAGATGAGTCCAAGGAACCCAGGGAGAGTGGAGGCCCCTTTGTCACCCACCTGGTCGTGGGGCAGCCTCCTTGGCCACTCTAGGTGGAGGTCAGCTCCTCTGCTGTCCACAGAAGGCTCCTGCTGTGGGATCTGCCCACTGGGTGATGTTCCTCCAGGAAAAAAGCCCTGTGAGACCCACTCTTGTCCTTCCACGAGCTAGGAGAGGACTGTCCTGCTGAGGCAGGAGCCAGTAAGAAAAGTGGTTACTTCTTCTTCCCCTTTATTTTTTATGGATTTTTTTTTTTTACTTCACTGTATTTATCTTCACTTTGTTCTTTTCTTTTTTTTTTTTTATTTACTTGGCTCAGCTCCATCATTTTTACTTGTCTCCCCTGTGTGCTCTTCAGACTTGCAGTCCCTTTCACCCTGCTCTCTGCACCTCCCTCCCTGCTTGATGGGAAGGTTGTTCCTCAGGTGCTGGAGTTCATTCCTGTGTGTGGAACACTGTTCAGCAGAGGAAGCTGTGGGAGGGCCATCCCAGCTGGGTGAGTGCCTGTGCCAGGCTGCTGTTACTATGTGTGACTCAGGTGTCCCTCACTCCTGCTCCCAGACACTCAATGACCTTTTCCTGCCAGTTCTGAGATGGGGCCAGAGGCCATCTCTCACTCAGCCTGTCCCTCTTTAAAGATATGATAGAATTCCTTTATCTCCCAATGCCAGGCAAGCCTGGGATGCTCAGAGGTGCAGATAACATTGCTGCTGTGTGTACCAGGGGCTGGGCAGGCGAGCAAGAATCCTCTCTTCTCCCTTAGCACTCAGCAGGACAGCCTGATCATATCCCTGCCCTTGCTTTTATTTCTGGCAGATCCAGTTTCTCTTTCTAACCTCTTAGCAAATCTCAGTGCAGCCCTTCTGGGTCCTGGTGACCTCCTGGCTGGGCAAAGTCCTTGAGGAAGGGGCAGCAGCCAGAGCCACCTGGCAGGGGTGGCTGGCTACAGCTCCACCAGGAGCTGCAGGACACTGGAGCAGGGATGGGTGGATCCTGGGAGGATGGGTGGTTCAGGCGGTGGTGCAAAAGCTGGTGGAGAAGCCAGGAGGTGCATGAAAAAGCAGTTCATGGCCTGGCAAAGGAGATAAGGAGAAACTTGATCCCTGCCTAAACAACCAGGGTTCTTGTTCCTTCAGGTCTGCCCCTCCAGGGGCATAGTGCAAATGTAAATGTCCAGGTATTTATGTACTCTGGCATAAATTCAAAATACTTTTGGTACAAATACAGAAGAAAGAGCAAAACTGTAGTCACCATTAGCACAGAATACTCGTGATGCTCCCATCTAATACCACACTGCATTTTCCTGTGATATTTTATGGTGAGAACATAAAGCCTGGCATCTTTCAGTTTTATGATTGAAAGATGTTTACAACAACTAAAATATGTGGGAATTCAGTATTTTCCACATCATCGGATTAAAAGCCCGTCTCTCAACTTATTTACTGCTCCACCTAAGGCTTTTACTGCACCTGTCTTCACAAGCATCGGAGCATTCGTGTTTCGTCTGTCTTTTTGTGGCCAGATGAAGTCATCTTGGAGCATGGGTGCGGTGGTGAAAGACACACACAGTGAATTTACATCTCTTGGATAAAGGGAGAAACTGAAGAAAGATTTCCCCTGTGAGCTGGCTTTTATCGTCAGTGTGAACATCTTAGTCAGCACAAGCTCAGACTTCTAAAGTTGTGCAGCCGTGTGCTGGGAGAGCTACAGCCCCTGCAGCTTCCTGCTTCCCTGGACCAGCCAAGGGTAAAGGCTCCAGGATCTGGTGCTCCTCTGGCAGGAATGGCTGAGCCCAGGCCAGGTGAGTTGCAGGCTCTGAAACTTTGTGAGTGACCCTGCTCCTCTGGAATGTGGGAAAACACCCTCCCATTTGATTTTAACAAATCACCACAAGCCAGATCCTGTAGCGTGTTGAACATCAGTGGATACAGACTAGAGAACAGAATTAGCTGGGAGAATCCTAATGTTTTGTGAAATCATTTCCATGACACAGACATGATACCAGAGTGGGATGCTGCATGCTTAAGTACTCAAGTCTTCAGGAAGCAAGAATCTGCAGATACTCTGACTCACTAGAAGAAAAATTACTTGTAGTGACTCAAACACTTGGATGCTGTGGTTTCCTAATTAATCACTGTGCTCCACCATGGGTCCAAAATCCTCCTTTCAGGACCAGAGAATGTTTGTGGCCTTGAGGATTCCTGCTCTGGTGCAGCTGTCTGGGTGGACAGATTAACCTCTTGCTGCCCGTCTGCAGTACGGTCTGCAGACACAATTAATTTCTGGGCTGTTAGCACAAGTGACTTGGTAGGCTCTGAAAGCTTGATGATGGTAGTTTTGCCTAAAAGAGGGACTTAGCAGGGGACACTTTTTTGAGGTGACCATGTGACTTGAGGAATCCCCAGGAAGGTCTGCTGCAGGTTTGGCAGCAATCTCACGGTCAAGGGGCTGCAGACTCAAACTTTTCTGGGAGGAGACGGATCCAGTGGTGTGTTAGAGCTGGGAAACCCTGGGGAACCCTGCAACCCTGCCCTTCTTTTGCAAGAGAACAGTACGAGGTGCCTCCCTTTGCCTTGACGTGCCTCGTCAGCCGGGAAGCTGTTCCCATTGGGCAAAAGGTGAAATTTATGTCTTTCATAACTTTGTGTTTGGATTTTGTGCTGTGCTTATTTTGTACAACGTGGTACAGAACACGAGTATTATGCATTGAGATAGCTCATCTTCTCTGCCCTAAGCCCAAAGTGCATGTTGCTGTCACCACAGGAAAATAGTGTGACCATGGGTGGAAGCAAAGAATGTTTCTTTTCAAGGTTTGTGCTAATTTTGCACTTAATTGGTATGTTACAAACCTAGCAAATCATAAATAAAACCTGAGCTTTCCTTTTTCTAAAACTAGGTCTTAAAATATAACTTGACTTAGATTTGAGTTGAAAAGGCAAGCTTTTGAAAGAGATGAAGCATGCCCTCATGTGGCAATATTTTTTCCTTATAATACCTGTTTGTTTTGGTTTTAATCCCCAAATAATCTATTACAATGAGTTATGTCATGACATCAGAACTGGCATGCAGCATGGGTGCTGTGATACAAAGCTGGTGTACACACAAAATGTTCAGAAATAGTTATATGGGGTCTAACTCTCCTGTAACTTGAGTCCCTGCATGAGTGCTTTTATTCTAAAATAAGACTAGCTCCAAACAGGAGTTCACAAATAAACAAAGGTGTGAAATAAAACTTGTCCTGTCCTCTGCTCTGTGGGAAACTTGCTTTCCACAACTGAGAGGAAAATTTAAAATTGTTACAAAGTGGACAACTTGGTTAGAAACCAGAATAATTGATTTTGAAGTCAATTTTAATCAAAACCAAAATAAACCGAAAATAAATACACATTCACAGAGCTGGCCTGAATAACTCACTGTAATAATCACGGTATTTGTTGAGCTGGTAGTACTTCCTCGTGTCTATACAAGGCTTGCAACTGTGTAGATAAACTTTTGGAAGCCTGGCTCTGCTGTGAGTTTTACATTTTTGACACATAAAGGTTGGGTTTTAAAACCCCAGCTGACATTTCCCAGCTTGATAAATAGGGAAGTTCTACTCTTTCCTGACAAAGCATTGTCTGCTTTTACTGTAGATCAATTTCCTGTTTTTTCTTTCCTGAACTTAATGTAATTCATAGAAATTACTGGGTCCCAACAGCTTATTGGGACTTGGTATCTTTCAACCAGAGCACCATCAAGAGTAAAGAAAAAATGTATGGTGATCATGGAAGTCTGATTGGGAAGCGTGTGATGGAGGACATCAAGTTTTAAACTTCAAGGAACCCTTTGAAATCCCAGAGTTTCCACTTGCTGCCTGGTCACTGTTTCCATCAGCTGGCCCTTTACCAGACTCCTGGGAAGCTGTCACCTGGCAATCACATGCCCCACAGGTTCCCCGAGGTTCATGCTCTTCCTTGCAGAGCCTTGCAAAGCTTGCAGGATGGTTCTGGCTGGCTGAAGAGCAGTAGGAGTTGCTTTCTCCTCATCTTCCTCTCCAGGCTACATTTCCTGCTAATACAGGCAGCTCCCTCCTGTGCTGAGAATAGTTTCCATGGAGTCAGGAAATACGAGAAGCAGAGAAGTGGGAAACTCTGGATCCACTAGACAAGCCTCGACTCTCCTTGGGTGCCTGAATGTGTGCAAAAGCTGTGGGTGGTCTGAATTTTGGGTGCTTGAGCAGGAGGCTTTGGATGTTGGTGTGGATATCCAAGTTGCTTTGAGAATACTTAAGGCTGAATGAGAAGTGAATTCCCTAAATGTCTCCCCTAGGGTCTCATTGACTTTCAGCAAAATCGTCCCTCAGAGGCCACTCAGCATCTTCATTCATAGAGCTCAGTGATGCTCTGCTATCCAATTCCCTTTGAAAAGGTTTTTGTGCTGTAATCTGCTGGCTGGTTACTCAACTGGTGCAGCTTACAGACCTCCCCTGGTTGTTGCACGTCTTTTAATTTTTAAGGGTTTATTTCAGCTCCTTTGTGAAGTGTAAGGAAATGGGTGATCAGCAAAATTCTTCCCAGTATTTTGGAAGCATTAGTAAATGTTGAATAAAGGGCAATTGCACTGTTGTTTTCATGGGAACTGTGAAATAAAGACTGCTAGATTAGGTGCAATCCTGATCTTAAAGTCACAATTCTTACACAATTTTTTTTGCACTCTGGTGCAAAAACTCATATGTGAGAATGTGTGCTAGCAATGAGCCAAGTAATTCAGCACTGCAGGAATCCCACCAACTTCATCTCCAAGCTGGTAATGAACATGGGCCTGGACACGTCCAACTGATGTGTTTGCCTGCAGAAATTATCTACATACAGTCAATGACAGCAGCATTCTTCAGATGTTGGGTTTGATGCAGTGAGCATACGTGACACTTCTGCTTTGCTTCCTCTTCTTGCTGTGCCCTGGACTTAGCTGTGCTCTGCTTTCTGTAATCTAGCCAGAGACACCCTGTTCCTGGGAAAAGGCACCCTGGGCCTGGAAAAAGGCGAGCTGGGCAGCTGTGTTGGAGAACTTGTGTCAGCTTCCAGCAGCTAGCTGATCCCCTGTGCCTTGCTGCTCTTTTGCACGGCTTCAGTACCTGAGCCAGTGTGTTTCCAGCTGGCAGAGGTGTGCCTGAGCAGGGTTGAACAGCAACTGCTTGGAGGACCAGAGTGGTGTGGTTGGAGCAGAGGTGCTTGCTGACGTAGCTGACTAGATGAACTGGTTGACTGGTTAAATACTGGTGGCAAAAGAACTTGCAAAGCTGCTTTGCAGAAGTGGGTGGGTCTCAGCCACATCCTCACTGGCTTTGGTATTTGTCCTCAAGCCTGATTTCCATTTTCTGTACACCCTTTGCTTTCTGCTCTCCTTCTTTTTTGGCAGGAGATGTCAGCCAGTAGGTTGTGGCAGCCTATCAGAAGTGACTGGAGATATTTGCTGGATGAACAAAGCCTATCCACTCCCTGTCCATCCTGACAACGACACAGAAGGCATGGGGCACTCAGTCACAGTCCTGTTGCTCGTCTTTCAAACTGCAGGAGATGAATGGCAATGTCACCTCAGGACACACCACCCTGGAGGCATTGCCGTGAGAGTCATGGCAACATCTCAGCAGGTGGTTTTCAGGTGAAGAGCGCTTAAGGCCATGGATGTGAATGCTCTCTCTTTTCCCAGGCCCTTCAGCGATTTATCGTGCTTTCTGTTCAGGTGTATCTGAAACAGGTATTACAACGTACACGGCTCCTGCCGCTCCCTCCTGCAAGGCTGAGGTGCAGGGCAGGTAGTCCCCTCCTCCCTGAGTGGCTTAATCCATCTGTGCTTCCTGCACTGTGGGGCTCCAGGCTGTTTGCAGAGATGGCACATTGACCATTTTTGATACACATTGATAATTTTTGCTTCTTGCTGTACACCAGTGACCTCTGGCTGCTTTCCCACTGATGTAGCTCACCATGCCTGTGGGATGTTGAGGTGGCAGGGGTACAGCAGCTGCTGGGGATGTAGGGGGGAACAGCCAGCTGCTGCCTCAGCCCTGCTGCCTGGGGGGACGCTGGCTGGAGAGGTGGGGGGCAGGAGGAGAGAGATGCCTCCAAGAAGGAGCTGGGCCACCATGTTCACCTTCCTCCAAGTCCATCTGCCGCTGCTCGTCTGCAGGGGGAGGATTTGATGCACATAAACAAGCACCAGGGAAGTTTAATCCAGCTGGCTTGGGCGCTGTTAGGCAGGGAATTGCCACCCCAAACTTTAATCACCTGAGCAAGCGCCTGGTGAGCCTGAAAAGCTCGGTCTGAAAATGACAGCATTGCAGAGACAGGCAGAGCTTTTGTCCAGCATTGATCCTGGCTAGCAGCTCACTTGTGAGGAATGGACTGTGCTGCATGTGGTCCTTCAGTCTGCTCAGGCCACTTCTGAGGTGCTGGTCTTGGAGGGGCTCCATCCCTGGCTTGCAGAAAGAGGAGCACTTGTCTGGGCCCTTGTCAGGGAAATCCCGAAGGCTCTGAAGCATGTGGCCAGGTCTACTCATCTTCCACAATGTCCTACAACAGCAGGAATATTGTACAAGGAGGTGACTTAGGCAGTACTGTGAGTTTTCACAGCACATGGCACACCCTCAACTGAAAATTTGCATAAATACCTTTCCAAGTAATGAGTATTTTCTAAATAGAACCAAAATCACATGAGAGGCAGGGAGGGGCATTTACGGGAAAGGCAGGTTTGCTGCATTTGGATCTCATGCAAGAAACAGGATTAGTACTGTCCACAGAAGTTAGAGCATGAATTTTAAGGGTCTGGTTGAGGAAGTTCCTTAGCACAGATGGAACGACCTTGATGCTTTTGACCTGACAAAGGCAGTTAATGCCAAGAAGCAGTTTTTGTGTCCACGGCAGGGAGAAATGACCATTACTCCTGATGACACCTCTTCAGGACACATCCATGTGATCCCAAGGGACCAGAGAGATCCCCACATGGTATAGTGATGATTGCTGTTGAAGACTGCAACCAAAACCCAGGAGCCACCCTCTTTTTGAGAAAGAGTTTGAGAAGTAGAGAGGAGGCAGGGGAGAAGTGATTTTATTTAGAATTATCCACTTAAAGCCTTCTCTAGTCGCTCTCAGAGCATTTTCCAAAGGACGCTGCTATTCTTACCCTGCCTTATCCCATGGGGAAAAGCACAGCAGTAAGGTGGCTGAGCTGTGGTCAGTGCAAAGCCTGGAGAAGGAGGGATTTTAATCTCTGGGATTTCAGCTAGGTGGTTGCTACCAGTTAAGTTATAAGTCATATAAAAAAGATCTTTCTGTTCTCTTTATCTAGAAATCACCATTTCCAGTGAGAAGCAGGTAGAGGGAGAGTCAGCAATCCCTGCTGCTTCCACTTCTTTTCCTTACTAGTCTGCCTGTCCATTCCCTTTTACCACTTTACATGTGGTCACTTGATACCAGCAGCTGTTTTGGGACATCTCTATCTGTCACATCCTTCTTTTTACTTCAGTGTCTAAAAGTTTGAGTGCACCACAAAAAAACAAAACAAAACATTACAAAACCCCCCCCACATTAACAAAATGTGAGTTTCCTTCCAGGTTCAGTTCTAAACACGTCACTTTAGTGATGTCTAAACTACACAGCACTTGATGAGCAAAACATTACTATCTTCTAGCCACATTTGTTTTCCCTGTCTCCCAGAGCATTATAGTCACCCAGGGAGAACTGCGTGTTCTACTTCGCTGCTGTAAAGCTATTATGGGTATGAAAAGTTCCCATTAATCTGCTCCACACATGGATGTTTCTGGATAAAGTTCAGTAGCCAGATCCCTCTTTCTTTGTGTGCATCAAACGAAGCAGAAAAATGCCTCCAATTTAAAGACACCAAATGAATAACCAAATAGATGAGATTAATTTTTGTTTAATCCACGTGGGCAGCGAAGCCAATGGCCAATGTTTGTGTGTGGACTTCTCCAGGGAGTTCATTACCAGCCGAGTCTGTAATAAGTTAATGCAGAGATTCCATGGAAATAGGGGGTTAATTATATGCAGAGGATGTTGGCCAATGTACAGCTTTGAACAACAAAAATAGCCCAAGTCTTCTGTTTTGGATGTGGAATCAATTAACGAGGTCTGTGACATGTACCAGAATTTGTTAAGATAATTGTACTATAAGGATACTTATTTTCTTCTTCTTTTTCTTTTTTTTTTTTTTTTTTAAATAAAAAGCTAAAGAAAATAAGTGGGTAATGGAACGCAAGGGAGAGAAAGACATGAGACTGGTAATAAAACACTGGACTTTGGCCTGGGGCCAAGGCAGGCTTTTCAATAGGTCTGAAGTTTGGACGGCAGCACAGTTTGAACCAGTTTTCACTAACTGTCCAAAAGGTTATACTGTAATAGATGGAGAGAAGAGGTTGATTTTAGTTTACCAACTCCCCTCTCTCTGCTGGCAGGAGTGTTATGCTGCTAAGATGCCGTAGTCATTACACTGATGGATATCAGCATGTGGCGCGGCATGCTGCAGATTCAACTCCGAAGCTGAAACACAAAAAATTCTCCTTGATGCCGGTTGGCACAAACCTAATTTTTTCCCCCCTTTCCACATCTGGTTTTAATATAAAATGTGTCTCTTTCTGTGCTTTTTTTCCCCGCTTGCCACAGCTTTAGAAATGTCTTCTTTAAAAAAAAAAAAAAAAAAAAAAAAAAAAAAAAAAAAAAAAAGTGTACAGAAAAAAAAGAAGTGTACAGAGTGTCACTCCTCTTCCCCTATATTCCTAGGTTTTAGAATGAATTGCATGTGTGGTAGTTCAGTAGTGCAGCTTGGGAGCTGGGAGCTGAACAGAGCGCAGCGTATACCTTTGTAAAGGGATGTTTCATAAAAAAAGCAGAGGAAGACCAGATTACTTTTACTTCAGAGCAGTGAAACACACTTTTGGCTTTTACAAGTTTTCAAGGAGCCACTTAAACAGGTAGAATACAAATTTGAAAGAAAAAGATCTGACCCTTTTTCACCCCATTTCACTTTAGGACAAGCTCTGGGCATGTTCCAGGCATTTCTAAAGTCCCTCACTGTTTGCTTTTTTTCCTCACCCCCTTCTTCCAACTTGGTCCCTAAACACATTAATTTGTTCCTAGAAATTATCTACTTGTTTGTTGTGTTTTGGGTTTGGGTTTTTTTTTTTTTTGTTGTTTGTTTTGCACACAGAAATCCTCAGACCAAAGCAAACACTGCCACTGAAAAATGTTGCAATTCAACCCAGTTTTGAGGGAAGTGCCCCTGATAACTTCTCAGCTCCAAAGAGAAGCAGTGGAGGCTGGGGCTACCGAGTCTCCATGGAAATCACAGAGGGTAAGGTTTGTTTAACTAATTAGTGGTAATCCTTAATAACTCTGTGGCCTTTAATTTGTGGGGTTTCCACCAGGTTCTATGTTCAGTTCCTCAGGGAGTGAGCCTGGATCCCTGGGCTTTGTCACACATGGACTCCTGGAGACTGGCATGGCCTGCAGATCTGAGGGGCCACTTAGGGCACAGGGACATGGTTTGAGGTCAAGTGCCCTCCAGACCTCTGCATCTGGTGGTGGGCAAGCATCATGCCTGGCTGTTGTCCCAAAGGGACTCTCGGGGATCCAGAATGCAGGATAGGACATGGGCAGGATGGATACCTGGTCTGAGGAGGCTGACTGCACATGGGACCTTGGTGTGCCACAGCAGGGAAAAGGACTCTGTCAGCAGGGGCAATGCAAGGACCACCCTGACCTTTCACCTGCCTGCCTGGCTGCTTAGAGTTAAAGTGTTACCAGGGAAGGTGGCTGCAGCCTCCACACAGCAGATCTGGTGTGACCATAGCCACCCAGGGGCACCTGGGGACAAGGTCTGAGCAGTGGGAAGGGAAGATTTTTTCTGCGGCAGCTCGTCAGGCAGACAGGAAAGCAGAGGCCGGGGAGGCCAGGCAAGAGGAGGATGTGATAGCAGGGCTGAGGTGACCGGCCTGGGGCCATCAGGGCGATGAGGAGACACAAAAGCTGTGGGGCTTGTTAGTCAGGGCCCCAGCCTGCCAAAGGAGCCCACAGTAAGGAGTAGGTTTCTTACCAGTGAGTGGGAATGGGCAGTGCCTTTATTTTGCCTGTGACGCCAGAGGCAGCTTCAGGCACTGTTACAGATGCACTAAGGCTGAATGCCAGCATTCAGCTCCCCCATGAGCCCCCAGAACCTGCCAGGTGTTGGAGCAGGAGCAGGCTACATCTGCTCTCTGGCCGGCCACAATTCTAAATGGAAAAGGTACTTCCCAAGTACCAGAGCACCACTCCCTCTGGAACTGGTCCAATTAGGGTCATAACCAAGTGAAATGGGAACATAACCAAGTGAAATGGGAACATCCAACCCCATTCATTCTGTAAGAAAACAATACCTTTCTTTTGTTTTCTTAACTATCTGGGGAGTGTCATAAGAGAGGGGGTCTCTACTGTCCGGATCTTTTTAGTTCTTCCTTGTTTGGGAGTGCTTTAGGATGGAATGACCTTCTGTGGACACAGTTGAGTACTGCCATGTCCCATGCCTTTAACACAGCTGAAACTCTTCACAATAGAGCAAGAATGGGTGATGGCTGCCTAATTCCTCTGTAACCAACCTGAGCAAAGAAGTATAATTATGATAGTTATCGCTGGGGGATGTTTCAAAGAGAAAGCATGCTAGATACTTAGACTAAGCACTTAATTTTTTTTCTATCAAATTACTTCCAGCCCAGCAGCTAGCTCTATGTACATAATAGCTATGTTGGCTTCAATGAGGTCCTTCAGTTAAGGTCAGCTAAATACCTGCCCCATGATAGCAGGCCACAGACCAGATGCGAGATGCCATGGTGTCACCTCACCCACTCCTTTCCTGTTCTGCTGCAGACTCCCACCCCACTAGCTAATTTTCAGCATTTGGCTTTGTATAGTTTTAAATTAAGCAAGCTCCATTGGACTTTACTATTAAACCACTTGTTCATTTCCCTTTTAAAACCCAGATTTTTTTTAACACTCTAATAAGAGCACATACCAATATTTTATCTTTTCTGCAGTGTATCCCCAGGCAGAAATTATATTGTAATAATAAACTGGCTAGCTTGTTTTAACAGTTCCTGGCTTTTGGCTTTATGCAACACTGCAGGTGTGATTCTAGTAGCAATACTGTAGGTGTGAATTATTATGTTAGTGTAATAGCCTGTACCTTATTGTGCTTTATTGCTTAATTGGCTTCTTCCATAAGGATTCTGCAGTTGTTAGTGGGAACTAATGCCAAGCTTTTCTGTGAAAAGAATGGTACTCTTTTTCTGGTGTTTACTAAGGTCAGTCTTTTCAGTGGGTGACTGACTTTGGGAAATGAAGGAAAGATGTCACTAAATGAATTAAGAAAGTGCTTACTAAGTCCTTAATACAAAGCAGAGCAGGCTAAAAGACGCTCCTTGTTATGCATAGATACTTGTAACCCCAATGAGCCCTTTGGGAAAACAGCTGGCTGAGCTTTCTGGCAAAGGAAGCCCTCTCCCATGATCGGGGGATTCCCAGGTGGTGGGCAATATCTCTGGGTGGTTACATGCTCTGTGACCTCCTCTCCCCTCTCTATCCTTCCCACCACTTTACTGTTTTCAGCAGATGGAAGATCAAAGTTTTGTCTTCACAGCAACACACAGGCTGATCCCCTTGCCAGTGCATCCCTGAAGGGGGGCACCCCAGGCAGGGGGCTGCCTTCCCCTACCACATGGATCGCCTGAAACATCAGGAATGTGGGCAGCCCTCCACAGCATGTGCAGATCCTGCCACTCTGCCCGGGAATCAAGGAGCAGGGAGGAGTCCCAGGGGTACCCAGATGCTCCACTGATGCCTCCACCACTTGAAACCTGAGACAGCTTCAATATGTGCAGCCACACCCTGGTGTGGGGACCAAGGGTGTTTTTCAGTGGTTTGAAATAATGAAAGCTGCTGCTCCTGTGAGTCACTCAAATTCCCACCATGTACTCTTGCTAAATGATTTCATCTCTGCTTCCCTGTGCTCCCCAGCACTGTGCCTACTCATGCTGTTGAAGTTCATTTTTGGTCTCACACCTTCATTTAAGCCTTTTTCTGTTTGTCTGCAGCTGCAGGTTTAGCAGAAGGATCTGTATTTACTTTCAGCTGGGTGAAATATTTATGCCTGGCATCTTGTTTGCAGGAGTAGTGGGGTAGGTGATTTCCCAAGTGGGATCTTCATCACACAGAGTAGGAAACTTTTGTTTTCCCCTTCTTCTTGTGATGGTGTTTTCCAAAACTGTTAATGCAGAGCAGGGCTGGGCAGTAGCTACCAAATATGGATGCAGATCTAGATTCTGAAGTCACAGGGTTTTGCCTGGTTCCCCCAAAAGCTTGAGGCCATATCTGTTGGTGGATGCTACCTTGCCTTACCAGGGATCAAACTGAAAATACGCAGAGCTGAAAGCCCAGTGTATGGACCATTAATGGTTGAGTTAATAGGTGTTAGCCGTGTACAGATTGTCCTTTTCTATGGCTGAGGCACAAAAAGTTGTAGTGTTTGTTTCTTCCTTTTTCCAGGTCTCACCAGGTCCAGCCCAAAGGAGATGAGCGGGTTTGAGCTGTGTTTGCACTGTCTGGCCAGGAAGAGAGGACTCATCTCTGCCACAGAGCTCTCAGTGTGGTTTGTGCTGAAGTGGGATCCCAGATCTGGGATCTACCCAAGAGCTACATCATACTGTCTTAGAGATAGGAAAGCTTCATAAAGGGAAGACTTTGAATCAGGAGTCCGCTGTGCATTGCAACATTTATCGCTGTGATTCACATACCTCCAGTGTTACTGCAAATCCAGGCAAAGTGTGAAATGATTCTCTTCTCTTATCTTTGAGGAAATGCAATGTGCTCCAACCACGCTGACTCTGAAAGTCAGTTCTACCCTGCTTTGAGCCGCAGAAATTGTCAGGATTTTTGAAAAAGCTCAACAAACCTCAACACCACAATCTAGCCAATTAATTTTGAAGTGCTTTGGGAACAACTCGGGTTTTTTTTTCTTTTCATCTTATGCAGCTCCACTGAAATCCTTGGAGTTCTGCAGGTACATACCAAGTTATGAAGGAGCTGGAGGCACTAAGAGAGCTGGAACATGATTAACAACTGTCAAATTATAGGGAACAATCTAAAATCCCTTAAACCTCTCCTCCCCTCCCCTACTTCATCCTGGCAACTAGGACAAGAGCCTTTGGCTAGGCTGTCTTTCCCTGAGGCAGTCCCTTCACCTGAGGGAGGAGATGATCTGAAACCACAGGCAAGGGTTCAAAAACGTCATGACAAAATCCAATGTCATGGAAAAAAAGGTGAGAGACTGGGTGAGCTGTAGCACAGGGGATCATGTGTATGCCATCACAGAGTCCTCAGACTTTCATCATAACCACAGCTTCACTGCCAGATAAACCACCTGCTTTTGTATTCACAATTGCAAAATGTCTCTGCAGCAACTCTAGCAATTGCTCAGAGAGGAAAGAAATACTTTTCTTGCATCCTTAGTATAGCAGGTGTTTTTACAAATTAAAAAATATATTAATTCTGTATTTTATTTTGGCCCTTTGCTATATCCCTGCTCTGTGTCTGAAATGTTTTCTTCACCAAAGAGACAAGCAGAGGCAGTCAGCTCTTTACAGACAGTTTTTTTTAGGTTTATCAATGTTAAGGTTGTTTTCTTGTACACATTTCAGTACTGTTTTTTGGTTTAGATAGCATGGGATACTTTGTTGCCCTGCTGTCTTTAGCAGGAAAACTTAACAAGTTTGTTTCACTCCTGTTTGCCATGGAGGTCTCAATCCCAGAGAAAACTGTAGAAGAAACTCAGTTAATAGAAGGTTAAACAAAATTAATGAAGTTTGTATGGCGCCCTGAAGGTTATTAGACTCAAGGTCTGAGTAGCTGCCAAGGGGAGTGAGTTCCAGGGCAGGAGCATTCATCTGAGAAATTCCAGTTGCTGATGTGGAGGGGTTGAACCTGGGAGCTGCAGGCACCTCCCAGCTGAGCTCGGCTGCCATGGCTGCCATGTGGGTAGGACCCCTGTCCCCTCCTGCACTCCTGGTCCAGAGAGCAAATGGATGGGAGGGCCTGCCCCACTCTGTGGGAGGGCAATAGGGACTTGCCAATTGTTCCAGATGCCTGGCTGCTTCCATTACCAGTATGGAGGGAGCAGGGAGCTCTAAAATCACAAAGAGAGGCAATTCCTAGGTGTCAGGTTTGATAAAAGGGCTCATGGAGCTACAAGGCAAGTCTGGAAGTGGCACAGAGTCGAGGGGTGCAGCAAGCAATGCAGTGTGACCAGTGGCCAGCTTTGTGTCCTCTGAGCTGCTCTCCATCCACACATCTTTGCCTCCCTATCAGAGTGACGCTCTGGAGTGGCAGCTGGTTTATCTTCCTCTTCAGTCCAACTTGGTGGTGGAATTGAAATCACAGGGTATGGATGCAAGATGGAAACAGACAGGCAAAGTGTTGTGATGTCCTTCCAACTTCCAAGTGTCTTCCTAGTGGCTCTTTCTGTGATATAGAAGAATTTTGACTAAATAGTCATTCAGTGGAAACTATAAAAGATAGAGGTGTATCTGGGTACACTTGTACTCTTATTCGTGAATGTTAAGCAGCATGTTAAACCTTCCTATACATCAGTTTGTGTATCTGTGCAGCAGTCTCGATATTTTATTCCTCATTTGTGCCATAATTGCAGGAGTCCTTCATGCCAATGTAGACATTGATCTCACTGCATGTCAGAATTACAAAATATATGAGAGAGCTGGAATAATAAGAATGTGTATTTTCTGAAAAAGTAGAAGGTTTCTGGAGGAGGAGTTTTCCCAAAGGGAGCTAAGCTTACAGATCTAACTCATTCAGGCCTTTTTCCTTCTGAAGTTGACACACACAGGCACAAACACACAGGCTCCAGTATCTATTTCACGGACACATTCTTCCCATCTCACTGTGTAAAGGTCTTGAAAGCAATAGCTACTGGCAGTACCCCAATTCAACATATCTAATAGGTCCTTCCCAGTTTCAAAATCACTAAGGACACAGATGGCCAAATGAAAGCAGGGCTTAAACTACCTTGCTGTCAGAAGCAATGGAACTTGCTGCCTGTCCTTGTGGGCTTGATTTGTAGGTTCTTTGTTTTTGTAGTCTTGGTTTGCTGACTGCATCTCAAGAACTGTGTTGCTAGAGCAACTTAGTTAATCTAACTCCTGGAAGTAACTCCAACTCCAACTGTTGAATGCAGGATTTTTCAAAATCTAATAATACACTGCAGTGGGTTTTCATTTTTTCCCAAATTTTATGGATTAATATGTTCAATGTGGAAGGAAAAAAGAATAAAATTGATTATTTGTAAACTACCTCTGACTCAGTGGATCTGCTCAGATTTAGGAGGGCATGGCCTGCCTACGTACTTAGAGAAGATATTTTGGATGAGCATCAAACGGCCTTACTCTACTGATTTAAACACAGCATTTCCAATTTACATCACCTCAGTGTTTGAACCTGATGTTACCTGTGCAGACATTTAACCAAGAAGGGACACTGCCTCTCTTCAGCTCCACATTTGCCCTTCTCAGTGTTTGCATGTGATTGTGTGTGTACAGAGATGTGGAAGTACATGTATGATCACAAAATAACTATGCTTTGCCATGTTTTCCTGTCTGCTTGGGTGGGAAATCTTAGTGCCAGTAACTATCAGAGAAAACTTATTGATGCAAACAACCACTGGAAGAAACAAATTCCCCCAAAGTGGTCCTTGTGGTTTGCACCTGGTCAGGACACCGTGAATCTCCAGGTAACTTCAAGAGAGTTCCTTACTGGCTGACATGCATTTCCCAGGCCTAAATTTGTGTTAGGAGGTTTATTTTTATTTTGTTGGTAAGTTTGTTTTTTACATTGCTGTCCCTCCTTGCAATTGTCACGCTGCTGCTCATACTTCCCAGCCTAGAGGAACTCTGTCCAGGCTTTATCGTAGTAGTTTGTATTCCTATGGTCAGCACAACAGTTCAGGCTTATTCTTTTCAACAAAATTAATTATTGTTAGGTTATCTGGGAGTTTGACTCAGAGACTGTATTCCACTAATAAGCATAATTTTGGAGAGCTTGTGCTTAAAAAGAGTTGTTATCTACTGCTTACTGGCAGGTTTTGAATCTTACATCCCTGTTGAGATTGATTTCCTTTACACGCCTAATTACTGATGACATAGTTAGATATAGGCTAAAGAGATATCTTGCAACTGGAAAAAAGAAAAAAAAAGCTTTAAGCCAAGTTCTCTTTGACTTAAACAGAAGGAGGCTTCATTTTGTTTCATTTAGTAAAGTCACCATGGAAGAATCCTCCCCCAAGAACTCTCAGCAATATGAGGAGTGTGTACAAAACAAGTCCAGACATCAAACAGGGCAACTCCCAAAATGTCTCTGCATTTGTAAACATGCATCACATCTGCTCAGCTTGGCTGTGAGTATGAAACATAAAACTTGGGATATCTGTCTTATTAATTTAAATGGATGCTAATTCAGGCTGTGGCTTGAGGAGATGAAGGATGCAGCTGCAGCTGGCTTGAAAAAATGTTTCAAGAAAAAAAAGAGACCCTGAAAAATTAAATATGTTTTTATTAAAATAAAAGGGGATCAGTTGCCTGATCTGATTTGTAGTGCACCCCTAGGTAGGCCATTTGGAGGAACTGCCTAAGCACTGCCGACACTGTTGTTAACCTTTTCCTGGGATCAAACAACAATCTTTGATCCAAAGGATGTTCACTGATGATGAAAACATGGAGTGAAGGAGAAAAGCTTCTGTGGCATTGTGATATGTTTCTTTTATTCCATAGAATGTGTGAAAATGGCGAGGGAGCCTTTACTGGGAGGTATGCTGAAGCTTTATAACCACCACAACCACGGACTGGGCTGCTTCAGCAGGTGCACTTTTCCAAACACCAGTAGAAAAGCCTGCAGTGAGAATGGACACATAGGAGTTTGTATGGATGTAGAGTGGCACAGCTTATCCCTAAGTTAGAAATATTTATGTTAAGTATAAACAAATAATTTTTAAAAAAATCCATAAATAAATATATTATAGGAATATATTTTACTTAGTCAGTAAAGAAAAGTTTTATACCAACACAGGTTCCTGTGCAACAGGGATAGTACTCTTAGAGACTACATAAACGAAACTAATATATATTTGATGCATACTTATATATGCATAACTATATTTGATAGATAATTATAACATGGAGAGTGTATGGAGATCAAGTCTGAGATGTGGTGTAGCGTGGCCCAAGGTGACCTTCATTCATGGTCAGGCACTACATGAGGCTCCTGGTTTAAATGTTACTATAATAGTGTAGTCACTACACTCCTGGCTTTGGACATGTTGGTCCACAGTTGCTGGAAGAATGTTTTGGATGCAGTTGCTGGAAGAATGTTTTGCCCTGTCCCACCTTTGCAAGCTACATCTAAAAGATTTTACTGGCAGAGCTGCTGATCTGACTTGTCTCATGCAGTTCTGTCAAAATATCTACCTGCTCATCTGATTATGAAGAAGGTGTCTGTCCATAGTCAGGGGCTTTTGACTTGAGGTAAAGTATACTGAGCAAAAGAATGAGCTGATCAAGACTGATCTGCACTTCCAGGACTTTGGGAATCTGGAATTATTTGCAAACTCATTGAATCCATAAATGCAAGCAGTTATCATGCCATCATTGGACTGCTTTCACACACTGGTTAGTGTAAATATGGTCTCTCTCCCCTCATGTCAATATCTAGTCAGATGCACCAGCCAGGCACACTCTTTCCCATGCAAAATGGTCTTCTTTGTAGAAAAAAATTACACAATTTTTGATGGACAGACAGCAAATCTGTCACTAGTCAAACATGGAAAACACAGTTTTGGGAGTACTGAAAGCTCCTGGAAAATGTCAGGCTTCACACTGCAGATGCCAAATACCATGTATTGAGAACTCTATGTGGATGTTGGTGGAGAAGAAAAGGGAAAGTAAGGCACTTCTTCCTAATGCAGAAAGTGAAGTCTGCTTCTTAAGGGTGCAAAAATGCCTTGACCTTTTGCCTTTGGCAAAACCTCACTTTATACGTGTTCTGTGGCCTGTGTCACTTGGCCACATCCCAGGCTCACCTCTAACATGGCTATAATTTCAGCAAGGTGGTGTGTACAAGTGCCCTGGATGATTATCCATGTGACAGCAGCACCCAGAGCCTTTAGCCAGGACTGTAGCCCTTTGTTAGGCATAGAAGAAATACACTGTCAGTCTCACTCTGAACATCTTCTCGTCTAGAAAGACTGGGAAAAGAGGAGGAAAGGAAAGAGAAGCAACAGAAAAAAATCATCCCGGGTTGCACAGCGTGGAAACAAGGCAGCAGAGGTTCCTGTAATGGGTGGTTGCTGTTTTCTTGCCTTCTCAGCACCTAGTGTTGTGTCACTTAATGCAGCAGAAAGTAACTTTTGGGTCATGTCTAGGCACAGGGCTTTCGCAAAGCAGCTCTACCGACTTTTCGTGCTGTGACAACCTAAGAGCATTTCTCATCCTGTATGACTGCTGTGCCCTGCTGCCAGAGTGACTGTCCTAATGCCTGAGTGACAAACAGGTACGTGTGCCCATGTAGAGGTTTTTCTAGGGCAAAGTTCAGCCTCCAAGTTTCAAACTGCTTGTATGCAGCAGATCATTGCTGCTGCTGGAGCGGGGACTGGAGTACGGGACCTCTGATGCCACAGCCTCCATATTACACTCTGGGTAAAAAAGTGCTCTGTGAAGGATACATCGTGTTGTTAACACAACTGGTTTCCCAAGGGAGACCTGTGCAAGAGGTTATTTTTTGTTCTTTGTTTTTTCCCTAATTCACAGAAATGTCTGATGTTCTCCAGAGTCTAATAGACTTTATCCACATGGCTAATGATTATTTCTATTCAATCTTCTTAACAGGACTGAGGGAGCGGTAACTGGTCACCCCTCTGCAATGTCACTCATGATCCCTCCTGGACCTTTTGAGTGACTAGGCTGGTAGGAAATGACAACAGAGTGCTGATGAGATTAGCACCTCTTGCTCTTCATAGTGTAAAAAACCCCAGGACTAACCCATTCTTCAAGCTCCTCAGTGACTAATAGCTGTTTTATCATCCTTTCAATTAGAAAGCACTTATCAGCAATCTTTGCTAGCTCACTGCATGAATTGACCTGTCATTCACTGTCTCAGCCCTTGGAACTGGTAATTAAGTTTAGCAATCTGCCTCAGCAGCTCCCATTGAGATAGGTGGTATCCATGTGAGTAGGCAGGCACTTTGGGGTTTTCTTCCCAATAGAAAAGGGCTTTGAGAAAAGTGAAGAAGGGTCCCAGGAGATGCCCTGTGCCAGGTACCTGCAACCCTGAAAGCCTGAAAAGCAGAGCACAGTGAGAGGCACAGAGCAGCTCCACCATGGCTGGGGGTGGGCTGCAGAAGGGGATCAGTGGGGCCAACCTGACTACCTACGGCCCAGGGAGACGAGCAGCTTTGTTTGGATTTGGCCACCTTAAGCTGGGACCAGCAGACAATGTTCCCTAGCTAAGCACCTGAACTTTGCAAACTGCATGCTTTTGGAACAGTAAAGGAGATTTTCACTTTATTCTCAATGTTGAGGTATGTCAGCCTTGAAGTCTGGGCACAGATACAAAGCTCTGAAGTGGAGGTACCTCTTTGTTGTTGAGCAAGGGGTAAAGCAAAGCAGTTGCAGTGAAGTCATGTGTGATGAAATCCAGGGATCAAGTACACTGACACAGGTCCTACATCTTCTCCGGTACAGTTCTCCTCAGTGCCGGCAGAGGACATGCCCTATTGACAGTGTAAACAACAACAACAAACGTAAGCCAGCCTCCTGCGGGAGGAGGTTTCTTAAGGGGGTTGACCCTATGGAAAAGTGACTGAACTGCAATGGCACGGTGTGATATGCCATGCTAACCAGAGGGAAATGCTAGCAATGTCACAGGTATTGCTGACATTGAGGCTACATGCCTGTTGTTATCTCCTGGCCTGTCCAGGTATCATTTTCTTTTTCAAATAAGAGGAAATTTGCAGATTGCTTATGCTAAAGCCATACTGTTGGTAAAGGAGCTTTGCCCCTCATCTGGATCTGTGGCTGACAATAGCGGATAGGGGCTGATTTTCAGTAGCTAGCCCACTGTTTTTTTAAGCAAAACTTTACTCTGAAAAAACAGACATCTTAAAAAATCCCACACAACCCTCTTCACAACTGCCAAGGGGCACAGAAATGCCAGGGTCCCCATTACTCACTCCAAAATCAGGTTCAAGTTGCCTGGCTTTGGGTTTTGGAGGAAATGCACAATGTGCAGGGTTCACTGAACCCCACAGAAGACTTGGATTTGAATTTTTCTGGAGCTGCCCTCAAATATTTCTTACTGTTTCTGAAAATATTCCTTACTCTGTTTTACCACAGGAAACATCCTAAGGGGATTTTTCTGCTTCTTCTTTCCCCCCTCCTTTCACTACACCAGGTTTGTCTCCCTGCTGTCTTAAGGAGACCACCCAGAACTTGAGGAAATAAAGACCTCTGTGAAAAAATACAGGAAAACCTGATATTTGAGGGTCAGCTCCCCACAATATTTATCTAGTTGTCTAAGCTGGTCCAACCACAAAATGGGGGGGGGGGAAAATCACTATCATGTGGTGGCTGGGAGGGTAACCTCTGTTAAAAAACAACAACAAAAACAAAATGCAGCAGCATAATATTGATGGGAAAAGTGCCAAGTAGAGGAAAGGAAAAGGACTGATATTTATGAGGTATAGTAAATAATAGCACTTGGTGAGGATAAAGCAGCAGGTATCTTTAACTTTGGAGCAGAGAGATGGGATTTTGTCTATATAATTTATTTTAGAGGTTTCTCTGTGTTTGTAGGGGAAAAAAAGTGGTACTGAATATGAATTTAAATTTTTAAAAAAGGCAAAAAAATGCACTTTCTTCCCTGAAACCACCCAGAGGTTTCTTACAGCATTCTGCATCCTGAAGATCATGTGCCTTAACTTCAGACCTGAAAAGCAGAGAAGGAAAGAAACACTTACAATTTGGAGCAAAGGCCGCCTTTCCTCACCGAGGCACTAAGCAGGGATGTAAATTACAGGGTATCTGTTTCAGGCCCCTTTCAGTATACAGCTCCTATAAGAGCTCCAGAGTAAGATAATCCTCTGGAGATCAGAGGCAGCGTGCTATTAGCAGGAGCTCATGGGTTACATTTAGTGGTGCCTGGGGTACCTTTATGCTGAAGTGTTAGTGTCAGCTCGAAAGCACATAATCTTTCTCTTGAGCCTAATTATTCATTCATTGCACGTGCAACAGAATATTCAAATGTGTTTAATTAGTCCAAAGATTGTGCTTTAAACCCACAAAAGCAAGGCAGGAAGGAATAAGGATGAAAAGTCAAATAGCCTCTTTTATCTAATTGCATCTCTGACTACCTGGGAGTCCCCAAGCACCAATGTAAAAGATACTGTAAAAATATTTAAATATAAACCCATAGCTGAATATGCTAGAGCCACAGCATACCCCAGTGTTATTTCTTATGCTTAATGACCAGTTGAATTTCTCCTGATTTACACCAGTTCATATAGAAAGGGAAAAGTGTACAGTTTGTGTCCATTCGGCCCCTCAGCTGAATCACCTGTAACATTGGTGATGTGGGCAAAATACCTTCTGTTGTTTGCAAAAGAAGTTTGTTACCTGCTTTAAAAAGGCCTTATTTACATTTTATCATTAAAGTGTATTAAGTAAAGTTCTCAAGGATTTCCATTAAAGTTTGGTTAATAGTGCAAATAGAGGGTTATATTTAATTATAAACTGTAAAGGCTTTGCTCTTGAAAACAATGTCATCATTTTATCTTTTAATCTGAAGTACCTTGTTTTTTCTTGGTTTTTGGTGTGATAAGTTAACTGGATTCTGCAGGTGCTTTCTGAAATCTAATGGTGACATAATTGTTATATAAAGCTGCAGCTAAGTTTTCACCATGGAGTCTGTGGCTAAAGGAGAGATCCAGCAAGAAGGAGAATGAAGGCTTGTGCTTCTGCCAGTTCACTCGCTACTTAGCCCTGGGTGAGTGCTTCTGGCTCAGATTTTCAGGAGTGGTCACTTTGCCCCCAAGCCCATTCATGTGACATTATTTTATACTCACTGCTGAGTATCAACAGCCCCACAGGAGACATCTCTGGACAGGCATTGGCCCCCAGCCAGGCATCTCCTCCCAGAGGAACCGAGTACCCTGGCCATGCTCTGGGTCAGCCCAGCTTCACGCAGCTTTGACTCTGCTTATCCCCACTCAAGTAGTATAATATCTTTATCTTACAGACATTTTGGGTGGAAGGGACACCTTCAAAGTAGGGCCATCTTTCAGCTTTTTCCTGGGCTAGGACAGGAACCTCAAGATATGGGTTTTCCCAAGGTGTGGTCTGTGGTATGTGATTTAGTGCAAAGACAGTGCAAGAGTGAAAGAAAAAAACAAACCATGAAGTGAGCTCAAAATGCAGCTCCTAGAATTAGAGGAGTTAAGGGCACTTGGTCCTGCCTTAACAGAGCTCAGACAATTAAAACAAGCCATTACTATTGAGGATTAATTAGCTCAGCTGGGACGGGTGATAATGAGTGTGCTTCAGTGGGTTGTGACCATGAAGATGCTGTATCCATGACCTGTCTTTGAGAAGCTGCAGACTTTCCCCAGAGAACGGGTGTCAGAATAAATCTGCTTACTATTCCCAAATATGAAGGTTTCATCCTGGAAAGACAGGACCTTAGTGAAAGCACATTAGAAAATAGCCACTTCATTCTAACCCATAGCATACAATATAGTGATTGTCTTATTTCCTTCTAGGCTGGGAGCACGGTGCCATATGCAGAGCATGATGCAGGATACAGTGAATTTATTTCTTTAGCACTTTTGAACACCACCATGTCTGTGCATGCAGCATGTGGGATTTGTCATGCAAACACCTATGTTGTTTTAGATACCCTTAAATAGGCTTTGAAAGGGATCTCAAAGAATACAAGATATTGAGGGATTGATTGACACTTTCTATGTATGGCACAGGACCGTGAGACACAGCTCCTGATCTGAGCACTTGCTCTTGCTACGGGCACTAACTGAGGGAAGCCTAGGTGGCCATACCTCCCTGCTCTCCTGCCAGCTCTGCAAATAAATGCTAGGTAAGTTTTGGCAGTCTTTTGCACTCTGGTGCAAGTAAATATCCTCCTGTGCTGACTCTTTGATAGAGGAGATCTGTTTGAGCCACATTTTCTTCCTTCTTCCCCCTCTGCAGCTCCTGTCATTTGGAGATGTAGCTGGGGAGCAGAGTTCATGCCAGTGTGTCTTCTGAGGAGCAGGTTGGCCTGTTTGGATTTTTTTTTTCGTGAGGGTCCAATGACCAGGCTATGGAAAAGGTGTTGTTCAGAGGGCTGGAGCCATTGTGGCATGGCTGGTAAGAATACTGAGGAGGAGGTGGTGAGGCTGCAGTTGTAACTGTAAGCACAACCTCTGGCCATAAATTTGATATTTTCTCCTCCTAAAACACCATCTGCTTGCTACTGTTTATATTCCATGCCAACCCTCACACATCCAGGCAAGTCTGTGCTACAGGGACACCTGTGGTCACAGCTCCTCCCTGAAGTCATCTTTGCAGCTTTGGGAGGAAGGTGACCTCCCTTTTCGGAGTACTTCAGCCTGAATTAACAGAAAACTGCCTGTGGTTGTGGGCACATTACTTTGTTTATGCCACTTATCTGTTACCTAAAGATGGAGGTTTTGAAGACACTTTAAAGTGCTGGGTTTTTAGTTTTTTTTTTCTTTCAGCTGCTAATCTTACAGTGTCAGGAGCCTGCACTCATGGGAAAGTTGCACCAACTTACCTCAAGGGGCTTTAACTTTAGTTAGAGCAATACGGGATGAATTATGCATGTGAAGGGTAGGAAGGCTCTGCAGAAGGATCTGGACAACACTAGAAGCAAAGTGTGACCTTGCAGCTTCCCACTGTGCTCTTTCACTTCACTTTTCTGGTCAGTCACGAGAGCTCAAGCAGAAGGCAGCCAACTCTCCCCATCTCCCATCACCCTTGCACAGCTACTGCTGTGTATGCCACTGCAGGGCAGCCATCCCTGGCATAAGGTTTGCTCCCCAAGAGACTCCTGTGAGCACTGGTGGGACTCCAGGCTGTGGATCCCATACTGCATGGGCTAGGTGGATGACTCACAAAAGCTGGGATTGTGCCCTGTCAGCAAGCAGCAAATTGAGCAGTGATGCTGCCAGTCCTTTGCAGGGTAAAGTGAGCCTCCCAAGGCAGCCCTTTGTCCCTTGGAGGGAGGATGAGGAGGAGATGTAAATCACAGCTGGGTTTCCACATGGTAACCTGAAGGCCTTTACCTCTGCATGGTGTTTCACAAGCAGCAAGGAGGGTCAAGAGATTACTTTTGTTCTTGTTCTGGTTTTCCCACTCATTGTGGCTCGGTCCCTAATGAAAATCAGCAGGCAGCAGATTTCTTGGGTCACCACCGCTCCATGAGAAAACGTGAGAGAAAAAACAAACTGGGAAATATAGACTGTTGGGTTTTAACTTGCTCATCCTTAAGGCCTTTGTGCAGATGAGAAGTGCCAAAGGTCAAAAGGCCATTGACTTCATCTTCTTCCCCTTAATTTTTATATCCACTGTTACTGAATGGGATGGGTCCAGCCTGTGGATGCCTGTATCCCACTGCTCTTTTCAGGATGCTTCCCAGTGTTTTTGTTGGGGTGAAGACAGGGGCTTCCTATGGGAATTCAGCCCACAGGGCTCGTTACCACCTCTGGCACCATTAATGTGCTGAGGGATGAGCGAGGAGGCTCTTGCAAGGAGGAGCGCTCAAAGCTTGCAACTGCAAAAATCCAAAAGCAAAACAGTGGAAAACTGGCTGGATAAATGTGGAAAGCTCTTGGAAATAAACAGCCCACAGAGGCACAGCCAACCTTTTTGAAACTGGTTTAAAGCCATCGGTTGCTGAGTCCTCCTCCATGTGGGCTGAGCCTGAGGGGAAGGTTGGCACTCCCTGCGAGGTACGCAGGGGGCACAGCGGGTCCCTCTCCCAACCTCCTGGGACTATAACGTGGAGAAGAGAAGCCAGCTGGCAGCGTCGGAGGCCAAAAGCCTCCTTTCCCAGGGGCTGGAGCAAAGTTGAGGGCATTGAGCAAGATGCAGGGCTGAGTCTGGTGTCCCCCGATGGTGGCAGGGGAGGGCAGGGGCATGGCAGGGCTGTTGGAGTTGTTGTCCTTGTCCTGCACCCATCTGCCCTGCAACACTTTTAAAGTGCTAACATGTTTTATGACGCCACGCAAGTGAAACGAAATAGTGGCTCCTGGCTCCTCGTAACTTGTGTAAATTCCAGATGTGACAATCCTTTTACTGGCAAATGGAGATGTTTATCCCTGTGCGCTCCTCCAGCTGAATTAGCTCCCACTAGGAAGAGCTCGCTGAAAATGTGCCTGCCTGGCTACTAAACAGCTGCGTAATTGTCCCTCTGCCCCTTCCCGGAGCTGCACATAAAAAGTGCAATCCAAATTCCTGGGCAAACCAGGCAGGGCCCTGGAGAGCACTTCCCACCCCCCTTCAGGAATTGAACGTCATGCCTAAAGGATAATGCAGGATTAGGGCAAGGGGAAAACGAGTGGCTTAAACAGATCCCAAGTGCAGCGAGGCTGAGCAAAATGTGTCCTTATCCCCAGCCACAACACAAGCCTCTCTCTTTTCTTTCCTTTTTTTTTTTTCCTTTCTTTTTTTAAAATAAAATTTGTTATTATTGCAAGGGGAAGGAGGAAAGGGCCTCCAGATTGTGAAACAGGCGGAAGAGGAACAATGCTAGTTCCCTGAAAGCCCCCAGCCCAGGCCACAAGGCTGCCCTGCCCTCTGCCACACGGCAGCCTACATGGGAAACCCTTCCCTGCCTGTCCTCCCCCACCTCCTCCTCCTCCTCTCCCGGAACACACAGGCACTAGTTATTAGGGATTAGGTGGAACAGATGCATGTAAGATGCTTACTGCCTTTTCCAGACACAAGGCCACTTTCCAATCAGCTCAGAGGAAACAGGGTAATTAGATGGAGTCGCGGTCAGGGAGTGGGGGGGGGAATTAGCCTCTTATTCAACCAGAGCCTGCAAGGCCACCTCTTCCCCCCCACACTCCCTCCTTTCCCCTCCTCCCCATTCCTCTGCCCACTCTGTCGTTTCAAAGCTTTTTATTTTTTCTTTCCCTTTTCCAGGAGGCAGCTGATGCCGGCCGGCCGGCTGCCAAGCAGGTCAGGCCTCTGCAGCTGAAACTGCCCGAGATTCCTGAGCGGGATGATGAATCAGCTGCGTCCTTTAGGGCACATCCTCTCTTGGACGTGCTGCTGGGATGTCGTGTCTCTCCGCCGCTTCCCCGTGGTGAGAGTGTGCTCAGAGCTGCTGGCTGATGACACTGGGTGGGTTGATGAGTTTGGTTTAACTCTTCCTCCTCCCCCTCATAAACCAGCCTGGCCTCCTGGTGAAGTTATTGCCCCTTAAACTGACGATAGCGGCTCTAGATGTCTCAGCGGAGGCGAAGTGCCGGGCTTTGAAGGAAATGATGCCTTGTTTGCATTTGCCTTCTTTTAAAAGCACATTAAGACAGCTTTGGCTTAAGTGCCCTGCAGGCAGGAGTTCTGAGTAAGGACAGGCTGGTTTTCACTGTGTCCACCCCTGCTCCCAAAAAAAACCTTGACTGTTGGGGTTGCTGAGTGCGACTGCTGCAGACTGGAGGCTGCTGTGCCCAGGCTGCCTCATGCCTGATGACTCTCACAGCATAAGAGATTTTCCTTTTCCAACCTTAAAAAGTTCTTGGGTGTGTTTACACTTCAGTGCTTGTTCATCCCTGAGGAGATTTTGCTGGGTAAAGTCCTCCAAATGTGGAGGGCTGTCCTGTCACTGTTATGCACAGGGCAGCTGAAACAAGGTAATGGTTATCAGGCACTGGGGATGGTGATTAAGAAGCTGACTATCGTATTTATTACCATCTCCTCCCACAAGCTCCTGCCTTGCTTGTTTGCCTTCTGAGGCCTGGCTGTACTGCTGTTTGTTGGGAGAGCACTGCTCTTTTCCAAGATGTTTGGTTTTAAAACCATCAGGATGTCCCCAGGGTGTTTGGAAGGGGATGTGCTGTGTCACGAAAGAGTGTTCCCCATGGAAGGATTTTTTCCAAGTGACAGGTCAGTTGGGCAGTAAACATGCAAAGGAGGATCACCATTACAAATGGAAAAGAGCAGAGAAGAGCTGACCCCAACTCTGAGGCAAAGAAATGAGAGAGTGTCTGGACTTCCCCAAATGCAGGTGCTGCTCGTCACTGTTGGTACCCTTTTGAACATCATGTAGATAATTTTCTGAGATTGATATTAACCTCTTTTCATAAGCATGCACAAGCACCAAATGTTGAAACACACTTCAGGGCTGGATGGAAAATTTCTGACCATGGTTTGCTGTCAGGAAGTGCTGGTTCAGCAAGAGGAAAAAGATGTCAACTTCAACAGTAAAAAAAATATCAGAAAGAAACAAAAATATGATACCAATGAAGAAACTCTCCTGGGGGCTTTTTGAAGCAGTGAGGTTTATTTTTCAGTGCCCTGTTTTTATTGTTCATTGACATGTGGGATAAACACAGCCAGAGCAGAGGCTGCACCATCTTTTTCCCTGTGGTTTTGCTCAGTGTATTGTAGGTAATAGCTTCTGCATGCCCAACACATCCTTCCCAGTGCCTACCTGCAATAACACAGGTACAAACAGTACAAGTACAGCAGGAGGAACTTTTCCTGATGTACCATCTTTCTTAAGGGAGAGAAGGTGCCTCTGTGAAGCACAAAACTCCCATGGAGGCATGCTGGGATCTGTCTTGGAGGTGGATTATCTCCTTCACACCTGCACTCCTGGCCATGTGGGTTAACTGGTGACCTAGTAAAACCATTGGTTCTCCTCAGATCTTGACATACTCCTTATTTATGTAGCTGCAGCTGCTTAGGTCTAGTAATTCTAAAAATGGCATTCTTCCTGAACACCCAAGTCCTCACAGGAGTACAAAAATTAAATATGCAGGGCAGAAACAAGACATGGAAGAATAACCCTGTGTTGCATGGGAAGTGTGTGTAATTTTGGTTACTGCTCTGCATTTTTTTATGTCTGCCAAATACATGAGATTGACAAGTAAATAGACAAAAATATATATGCTGAAGCAAAAAAAGCTAAGAAAAGCAGCATTCTAGTGAAGTTCTGAAAACAGCTAACCAAATAAATCTCCCCAAATACACAGCTTTGCTACCCAGGGTGGCTGTTTGGTTCAGGACCTTCCAAATTAGCATTATAAACATGCCAAAGTGCTATGCATGTTTTAGAGTAAATCACCTAAATAGATTATTATTGTTGGATAGCAATTAAAATGATTGAGTAGTCTAATCTATGTCCTGGTGTAGTGCCAAGTATCAGAGCTCTGATTTATGCATTTCCCCTTCCTCCCCATGCTACTTCTGAAATGGGACAGCGTGGGAAGCCTGGCAGCATGTGGGACAGAACTCCTCTCAGCGCTATCAGGCCACTTGTTCCTTGAATTCCCCTCCACAAAGTGGGATGGTGAGAGGAGAAGAGACTTAGCACTTCCCATCCCTGCTGATGAATGGAGCCAGGCTTTCTTTGGGCTCCAAGTGAATTCACTGGGCCAGATGCTGAGGCCAAGCCCCAGGGTTGCTTGTTCCTGGGAAGGAAAGGTAGAAGATTCCTGAGGTAGTTTTTTTTTTTTTTTTTTGTTTCTTGATTTTGTGTTATGGTGAAGTTCCTGTCTCAAAAGTGATGCTTATATTTTAGTCTCCTTTTTCAGTGCTGCCCCCTAAGGCAGAGGATACAAGAAGGGAGCGTCATTTTTATGACAGCAAGGATGCATCCTTTGCAATTGTGACTCCCTTTGTCTGGAATGTGGGATGCTGTGGCTGTCCTGCTGTGTTTTCTGTCTTTCTCTGGGACAGCTGAAGTGAGTACCACAGTAACAGACAGGTTTGTGATGGATGGGCTGGCAGAACCAACATATTTTACAGAGGTTAATAAGAGTTTTGTAGCTGTTATTTATTACCAGGACAGGGAACGCCTACATGTGCCCCTATCTCTTATTGCAGCAGTAACGCTTGTCTTGAAAACCAGCTCATCAGCTTTCCCCCAGGCACTCGTTTGCTTTTCCCCTCCTTACAGTTTCTCCAGGCCATGCTGCCCATTTAGCGTTTCCCTGAACTACAAGGGACAGACTGAGTGTCTGGGAATGTACACACAAATCATATGACCCAAAACAGCCTGCATTTTTTCCCCCCTTGTTACTGGATCACTCAGGTGCTCTTGCTTTGAATCTCCCTTTTTGTTACCTACCAGGCCATTCGTGGCTGGGAGGTTGTTGGGACAGGGGCAGTTCGACACTGCATGCGCAGCACAGAGGAGCAGTCTGACCTGCTCACAGCTCCACGTGCTGCTGCTCTAGTGACAGCGGTGATTTGTCATGCCTGCTATAGGAAGAAGAAAGTAACTGCTTGCAGTAAGCCACATACTAATCAGGAGCTTTTGGGGACCTTTTCCTGTTTGTTTTCCTCTCCAAGTGACTTGCCTCTGAGCAGGACACTTTGCAGCCCCGAGCCTATGTCAGCCCTGCCGGGGTCTGGCATTTGTCAGTCACTCCAAAGATGGGAGCTCAACTGAGAGGTTTTCCCAGCTGCCAAACATTGTTCCTACTATGGGAGGCTTTTGGTCCCAACTTTATAGAAGCTGTCAGTGCTCTGGCTGCTGGGCAATGCTTCTGCCAGCCCGGGGGTGAAAAAGGAAAGGCAGGGCTGTCCAAGTCGCTGGCCAGATAGCGCCCGGATTTCACCGCCACGTGATGCAGCTGTTTAGCAGCTTGTGCGTGCAGACACTGTTGAAAACCAAAGGGGCATGGGAGAAAAGGAAGAAATGTTTTGTTTCTCCTCTCCCCTCCTCTGCCTGTTTTTGTCATGCTGCTGTTCTCCTGCCCTGCTCCTTAGCTATTTGGCAGAATCGCTGCCATTGCAAATGTACGTGACTAATCTGTTACTTGAGGAAACGATTCACAGGCATGAATGACCTAGGCAGTCAAGGAGCTGATGGGATCCCGTGCTGGGAGGAGTGTTTTGGGGATTTTGGGGGTTTGGTGTGCTTTTTTTTTTCTCTTTCCCCTAGAGGGTTGCTCCCTCTGTTAACTGATGGGAGAGATACCCATCGGAGTGCTAGATGCATGGATAGGGTCTCTGTTAAAGAGGTGGCCACCCTCTTCCCAGCCCCAGGGGCAGATGTGCTGCACCAGGACTGCACGTCCCCCTTCCTCCCCAGCCACGTGGATGCCGTTCCCTTGCGATGGCACGGTGCCATCAGCCACAGCGTGCTCGCCGGAGTGCAGAGGCTCTGGAAGGTCTGGGTGTGAGATTAGGGCAGATCCTTACTCGTTCATCTCCCAACCAGCTCAGGCAGACACCCGAGGCCGTGGGACCGGAATGCTCTGACCTGAATGCAGCCAGGCACTGTCCCTCCAAGGCTGGTCCTCGCCTCCCTCCACCACTTTGCTTTGCTCCATTTCAGCTGTGCATCCTTAAGTGATTCAGGGGCTCCGGGCCAAAGGGCTCTTTGCCCCGCTGGGCTGATCCTGAAGAGAAACGGTGATGTGCCAGGAGGTCTGGGAGGCGAATGTCATTTCATCACTGTTCTCCCGGGAGAGGTAGAGGGATCCAGCATGGGAACAACGGGGGTGGGGGGGGGCAGGGGTTAATGAGGAGAAATGGGATAAATTAAAGAAGGGGAAATGTAGGCCAAGTATTTGGAGAAAACATATGTTTAAATGCTGTCAAGCCAAGAATTATTTTCTCAAAAAAATAAGTTAATTCCAGAGAATGACTAAATTATTGGACACAGCTCCTCACTAGGTACCTTGAAAATGTGTTGAATCAGGCTGTTGGTGTGAATTGCTAGCCCAGCTCTGGAAAATATACCCTAGGGAGCACCAGCTTTCCTGGTTTTCCACTGATCTTAATGCCAAAGTAAAATCTCCTGAGGCAAAGGGACATTAACTAACTAACAGTGCCATCTAGCCCCATCTAAGACATAAGACGTGTATGAGCGGTTGCTAATTTTGTTCCTGTAACCAGGAGGCTGAGTCACTTCAGCTCTAACCCACCTCCTAGGTCATGTGCTTGTGGATATAAGTGTATCTTGGAGTACATCCGTGCATGCACTGGGATGTATTTTTAAAAACCTGTCCATGAGCCATAAACGTAAATGCCTGACCGGGAGCCATCCCAGCTGGACAAATCCTATGTGTTTTCATGGCCACTCGAGGTGGGGAGGGCAGCTCAGTGTTGCTTCGGCCTGGCTGGCACTTTCCATTGATAAGACCTTACTTTGGATGGCTCAGGGTTTTGCCAGGGAGTGTTGGGTGCTGGGTGCTAGCTGCAGGCTATTTGTAGGGACTTCTCCCCAGAGCAGTGTTTGTAACAGCTCCCAGTGCTCAGAGCATGGCTTTCAATTCTCTGAGGGTAAAAAAGGCAAATATGAAAGCAACAGTGCTGCTGCTGCTGCTCATCTTGTGAAACACGCTGGAGGCAGAGGGTGGTGGCTCCAGCTCCTGCTGCCCACACTGTGCTGTGACTGCACCCTTGCACCTCCCACTGCACCCACCACAGACACATCATCCCCTGAGAGATGGGACATGGGGTGAACTTTGGTGGGAGTGAACCTATCAAAGGCCACAGAGTGGAAAAAGATGCCTTGAGCTCCCTGGTACAAGGGCTCAAGGCTCTCTGAAGTCTGTGAGAGTCCTAAAATTGCTGGTTTAGCTCTTTGGGCCTTTGCTTTTTACGCTTGTGGGCTCCAGAGGGATTCAGGGGTTGTTGCTGGGGCCCATGGGTTTGGTGCAGTATTTTTGAGTCTGCAAAGCTGATGCCAGCCTTTCTCTTGTGCCTTACAAGGTACTAACACAGGGAAGCTGGTCAGACTGCCAAAGGTAGCAAAGTAACCTTTTTCTACGGAGGAAAACACCCATTATCCTAACCGGGCTTGGATTACCAGTAGTTTTTTGCACTTTCTGCTTTATGTTTCTTTTTTTTTTTTCTTTCCTTGTGTGCTTGCAGTAATGTCCGTAGCCAGACATATGCTCATGGCCTGGAATGAAGTCGACTGCAATTACATCCTGAGGGAGTCACTCAACGGGGGTTTTGTGGAGGCAGGACGCAGGCTCTGGTGGAGCTGCACATGTGCTGTTAGACCTCCAACTGCACTCGCTCTGCCTTCAGCTTTGTGGGAGCGAGGAGCAGCAGGCTCAGAAATACAGCCAGTCTGGTGCACATCTGGAGGCAGTAATTGGAGGTAAAGTTGTGCACCTTCTGTTCTCGATTCAATGAGGTGTTTTCTTGCATTAGTGATTTCAGCGCATCAGCACCAAAATTCATCCTTTTAAACACACTTGCTCCCCATCTCCCATGCTCTGTGCTGATCTGAACCTTCTTCAAGCGTAAAGGTGTTGGGAGCTGGGTTGCAGGGTCAGGCCTCTCTCCTGTAAGGCTCCTTGTGCTTTACTTCCTTTATCTCCAAGAGCAGCCAGAAGCACATGCTGTGGCAACATAATCATTTAATCCAGGCTGGTGAAACCTGTTCTCCAGATGAACAACTGACAGATCGTTTGCTCTGTAGCTCTGCATATGAATGCAATGCTTGTTGGGGTGGATGGATGCCGGTGCCAGTTTTCCACTCCAGTTTCCAACAAAACCAAGCAGCAGCCTGACCGTGAATCTGCTTCCAGCTCCTTCCTCTGCTCCCTGCAACATCCTTGCTGCAGCCACATTAGTGCTGGGCCTCTCCCTCACTGGCTGCTGGCTGCTGATGTGGATGCAGTAGGTCCACAGATTCCTGGCAGGTGGACGCAGCCCTCAGAGGAGTGCAGCAGGCCTATGGCGCCCGGGATAGGAGCATGTTTGCCTGGGGAGGCAGGTGATACCTGAAAGGGTGCAGCCAAAACTAACAAAGGTGTGTTCAGAGATAGACACAGTTTGATCTTTAGCCCCTGATACAAACCTTGCCTTGGCTGGAGAAGCTGCTCTGCCAAGCCCTTTTGTAAGGGTGTAACAGCCTGGCGGATTGCTGGTGATTCCAGCAGTGGGTTGGAGTGAGGACATGTGCTGCTGCCTGCCTTGTAACTGCTGTGAGTTAGCAGGGGCAAGGGAGAGGCGCACCCCCTGTTTTAGGCCTCTGAAGTCTTCAGGTCTGAATGTCAGATGTGAGGAGATGGTGCTCTTATAGTCTCATGTGCAGTAATGGAGTTACAGAGTGCCTTGGGTTGGAAGTGACCTTAAAGTTCATCAAGGTCCAGGCCCGCCTGCCATGGGCAGAGACACCTTCCACTAGACCAGGTTACTCAAAGGCCTGTCCAACCTGGCCTTGGACACTTCCAGGAGTGGAGCATCTGCAACTTGTCTGAACAACCTGTTCCAGTGTCTCACCACACTCACAGCAAAGAATTTCTTCCTAGTATCTAATCTAAATCTACTTTCAGTTTAAAGTCATTACCTCTTGTCCCATCACGACATGCCCTTTTCAAAAGAGCAGAGCCAGTGGTTCATTACACATTGTGCAAATCCTTGTGCTTATGTAGGTTTTCTGAGTGCCCAGAAAATCTGTCATCTCCTAAGTGCTGGAGGAACTTCAGGTGAGCAGCCTGTCCTGCTCTGCTGCGGTTCTTGTTTGCTGCTTCTCTGGTTTCAGGGTCCATCCCTTCCAGATTTTGTAATGCAAGCAGCAGCTGACACTCTCATGGCCCAGCTGATGGCTTGGTGGTGGCACAAAACCAGAGAGGGCTGTGGTGTGCACTGGTGGCAGCCACTGCTCTGACAAACAGCATTAGAAACTTACCAGGGGAATATGCATTGGTTTTGCCGATGTATTCTTTATTTTTGGCTTAAGGAGCAAGCTGAGTGTTGAGACTTCACCAGGGCCAGTTTAAGCCTCTTGAATTGCCTGATCTGCTTGCACTGCCTCTGAGGATGGAGAGCTGAAAGAAGCTGCTTGCACTCAGATTGCCATCCAGACGACTTTTTTGAGAAGAGCACGCGTTAAATGTTTTTGGGGCCAGCACTGTGAGGTTGGCCCAACCTCCAGAAACTCTTTCCAAAGCTTGTTGTTCAGAATAGTGTGCTCTAAATATGCATTGCTTTCCCCTGCACTAGCTGGTCTGACCTACTGTGACCATACAACAGGGTTTTTCTTTCAGCTCAGAAGAGATTAATATTAAGATCAGTATTACTTGCACAGTGAAACAGCTTCTTTTTCTTCCTTGTTCCCTGTTACACACCTCCAGTGCTGTCTCTGTGCTAGATGAGTGCCTGTGGGGAGTTCAGGGAGTGCAGGTCTGGGCCGTGTATCACCCTGTCACCAGGACCAAGCTGGGAGAGGTCAGTACATGTGCACAGCTCGGAGCAATGTGTGCTGTGCTCGGGGAAGGGGGTGGGGGATGGGAGGTTTGAAACCCTCACTGGTATTTTATCTTCAGTTTAGCATGGCTCAGGTTTGTCAGCAAAACACCATGGTCCTGAGATATCAAGCCTGAGGCAGAACTGGGAAAAGAACAACCTAGAGCTCCTGGGTTTCTGTCTAGGGCTTTGGACACAGCTTCAGCCAAAGATTCCCCCTTCCTGAAAGGAGAGAGATGTCAAAGTGTAATGTTTACATCAGTTATGTGAAGTCCACTCAGACCTATTCAACCCCCTGGCTCTGCATAACTTTTTTTGGCAAGTATTAACTAATAAGGAAGGGAGTAAATCTTGCTTGAAGTTATTTTTCTTCCTGCTTCTGTGTCCCACCCCCAGGCACCCCATGGCAGGTGCTACAGAGGCAAAAAAACAGCGCTCCTGAAGAGACAGATTAGCAGCACACAAAATGATCTCTCTCGTCCTTGTGCACCCCAGAGCCTGGATACTCCCCCATCTCTCCAGCCTTGCAGCCCAGCTGTCCCAAACCCCAGACAGCAGGGATGGATAACAGCAGGCTGCTCTCTGTGCTGCAGCCCAGGCGATGGAGGAGATAATGGGAATCATTTTTTGGTACAAGTACAAGCATGAATCCTCTGAAGAAATACTAAATCTAGTTGCGGTGGGAAAAAAGAGAAAAATAAAGAAAATGCACACACAAAACCTCGACCTCATGTAACGTTGAAGGGTTTGGTTCTGACTTTTTTTCTCAGCTGCTGGTCCTTGAACTCCTCCCAGTGTAGCTCCACCACTGGAGCAACAGCTGGCATGCTGAGGTGCAGTGCAGGGCTGCCAGCTCTCCTCACTGCAGATCAAGCCTTGCACTCTGTTACTGGGGGATTTCCTTGAAGCCCGCATGCCTCTTTGCCAGAGTGCTGAGATTGTGTGAGAATTGTGCCTTTTGATGGAAGAAAAATAGGGGGGGGGGGGAAAGCTAATTAAGAAAAGGTTTTTAGCACTACACTCAGGATTGTGTAGGAAAATTAACAAATAGGAAATGAATATGACCTACAGCGAGTAAAATAATAATATTTTTACCCTGAGCAGGACTGTATGAGCTGTTTGGATGACATGTGGTGGAGCAGGGGTGTGGAAGAAAATGGAGCCCTGCTCAGTGCTGCAGGCCTTTTGCCATGCAACTGAAAAACTTATTTTGCCACTCTGGATGCTAACTCATGGTAGGCAATTGCTTTAGCTATGGCAAATGAAGCCCAAGGAAGGGTTCATCACAGATTAACTCCTAAGACTTAGGGTGTTTTGCTAAGTGAGGTGCCAGACCTGTCTGTGGAAATCTTGTTCTTGAATTGTTATTCCTTTTAAATCTTAGACTGTGCCTGCAAAGATGAAGTGTTTCCTAGCCTCACTTTTCAGTATTGCTATTCTTTCCATCCTCTATTGCTTCCACAGTGGGTACAGAGACATGAGCTTTCAATACCTGCAAATTTCCATCTGGTTTGTTAGCAGCACTCCTCATTAAGGGGATTATGAAAAGTTGGAGATGCTACAGGTAAGCACCCAAACAGTAATCCTGGCTTCCACAATGAGGCAGTGTGTGTTGTGTGGTTAGAGCAGCAGGAACAGGACTCATGAGTGACAGAGCAAAAAATCAGTGATTGCTGTTTGGCAGGAGATACTTAAACTTTGTCAAGTTAGGCAAGTATCTCCATTGTGGTCTCTGACTCACAATTCAAGTATGCTGGGAACATTTGAGGGGGCTGGGTCAGTTCTTTAAGCAGTGGGAAAACAAGGCTTTAATGCATCACGGCATAACTTTGGGTCTGTGCTCTGCTGTTCTGCCTTTCTTTGGGAAAACTGGTGTGGCTGGTGGTGGGGAGAGGGAGGTGTTGTGAAACCACACATCCACACACACTCACATGTGATTTTAATCCCTCCTACCAGTGTTTCACACTCATTTGACTGTGGTGGCTGAGCTGAGCCACTTCTCACTTGCCCTCCTGAAGGTGAACAGAGGACAAGGCTGTGTGATGGGACTGGTGACAACTCGGTTTCATCCTCTGCTGCAGCAGCCTGGCTGAGGTATGCAATGCAGAGGAGCTTGTGGAGGGGCTCCCCAGCCCCCTTCCAGCTATTCACTACCACTCTGTGGGCACAAGAGTGTCACAAACTGGCCAATGAAACCAGGCTGCAGCTCTGGTGTGTGGTCATTGCGGTGGCAAAAAGCAGCCGGGCTGTTCTGGTGAATCAGGCTGTGAGGGTAGGAAGGCTTGCCAGCAGCTGGGCTCTCCTGCTTCCTTCCACTGCTGCATTTAACACCGTGCAGCCTCCCGGGGAGGGAGGTGCATTTGTGCCCTTACCAGAGGTGTTTTCTGTTGATATGGTGTGTTCCTGCACATGGAGGGGAAGGCAGATATGGCCAGACATCCTCTCCCAGATCCTGTTGCGTGGGTGAGAGTGGCTGCTGGCGGTGGGGTTGCTCCTTTGTGCTCCTCCGGCTGGAGGCAAGCACCCATTTGGGGATGCTTCCTGGAAAATACAATTGTACAGTGAGCAATTGCTTTCTGTCCGTGGCTTTGCACCTCCTGCTCCTGGGAGGAGCTGGAAGGAGAAGCAGGAAATGGTGCTGGAAAAGTATGGCCAAAAATGGTCAAGACCAGGTAAGGAGCAGCCATATGGCAGATGAGCTGCTGGCTCCGTAACTAAGCCAAGTGCTCGGGATGCAAGAGGCTTCGCTGTGCTCAGCTGAGAGCCTGGCTTCCTGTGTGTTCCTCCCTGCTATGATTCTGACCAGAAATTCCATTTTTGACCTGAAAAACCTTCCAGATGAAAATTTAATTATGAAAGTGATGTATTCCCACAAGAAACTTCAGTGTCAGCAAATAAGCATTTTTTTCTGAAAAACTGTTTTATTCACACACACAAAAACCTGGCTCCCACTGATTCCATGCTAGAGCATTACCCTGGTAAAAACTCTCTTGTTTTTTTTTAATAAAAATGACTAGGGTTTGCAATTAGCATCCATTAGGCATACAAGTTGCAAAGAATTGACACTGGTCCTGAAGTCCTCTTGCACAGGATAAATTTTCTTGGCAAGTAATTAAATCATGACCTATGCTATATCTGTGATTTATAAAAGGTTTCTGGCAGTGGAGAAGTGGGATGAATCAATCATGGGAGTGTTAACCCAGATAACAAGATTTTCTTTCCTTTGGTGCAACAAATTCCTTGCCTTCTGCTGAGCAAAGGTGCAAGAGTTTTCCTCCAGACGATATGACTTGTAACAGGGACTTTGTAAATATTTTCCTTAGGTAAAGGTCTTTGCCCGTGGTTGTTATTGGTTCCATATTTGCTTGGGATCTTTGCATGCAGAGGATGGCTTTTGGCTTGCGAAGAGGAACTTCTCCGAGGCTGGACCGTTTCCCCTCACGCTCCTGAGTCTCTCCAAGATTGCGTGTACTGCTCAGAAAGGCTGCTAAGGGCAAGGTGCTTTTCTGCATTTAACAGAACATTCTGAAAGCTCATTAATAAAGGCCAGATAAAATAAAGCTTGGAAAGTCAACATGTTCAAGAAGATATGCCATTCTGGGAAACTAGTGGAGAGGAGGTGTGTATTTATGTGGACAAAAGAAGCCCAAACTGTAAACCATAATATATCTGTTAGCTCATTAATGTGTCTGACTAATTCCAGCGGTGTTCCTGCTGCCCAGCAGCAAAAGTGCAAATAAGTGGACAGCTGTGATTTAGTGCCAAATATTTGAACACATCGTGACAATTCAGGCCACCCACTCTTTTAAGTGAATGCAACTTCTGGGGAATCATTTCAAACTGGGCTGAAGTGCAGAGCAGCCACTTTCATGTGCATCTCAGCCAAATGGCCCTTAAGTATTTGGGACCAAACTTTGCCTTCTGTTACACCCCGGGGGTGCTCATTCACTCCAGGGTTTGCACTATGTAGCTGAGGGGCAGAGCTGACTCTTGATGCTAATCTGACTTTTTCTAGCTCAGTAAGTACAATTTCACATGTAAATGTAAATGTGGAACAGATCTGGACTCGATTAGCTCCTGAATCCTTGACAAAAAGCCATAATTGTTTATCCAGATGATGTTTCTTTCTCTCTCTTTTATTTTCTCTACACTTTAAACCCAAGGTTTTAGTGGGCTTGTGAAATAAATACATGAGTGTAGACTACAGTGGTATCAAAGGTGTGAGGGAAGCCCTTCCCTTCTCCTCAGCAGGGCTAAATGATCACTTGGTGCACACTTCAATTGTGCTCTCCAGAGCCTTGGGCAGGGGTGGCTTCGGATCTGGCTGACGATGGGAGGGAGGGTATTTCCAAGACAACACTTAGCCCGGGGCGCTCATTACAGATGTGAAGGACCTGTGATATATATCTTTTTTTTTTTCCTGGTAGGCAGTGAAATTTGTGCTAGTGGCTATATCTGGGGCACATGGTTGTTGGGGGAGGAGAAAAGCAAGGGAATATGGAAAAAAAATTGTATTTATCAGGGTAATCTAGTTTAGGAGCACAAGTACTAAAACATTTTAATCACAGTCATACGGCTGTGTGTCACTTCAGGGCAGAATTAAGGCTATTTGTATTCCTTGGTAGCACACTGCCACACTTCAACAAGTTTGAATTTATTTTAAGCATAACTTTAACTCTGAATTCCCTGGGTTTGTAATGTCTGGTCTGGAAATAAATGCAACCTCTTTATATTATACTTTACTCTTAAAATAGGCTTTCCACTTTAGCTTCATTTCTGTTGGCTCGGCAAGAGCATGGGCTGTCATTTCCTGCCCTGCTGGGCTTGCTGTTTAAATGGAGAGGGCGGTGTATCCGAATAAAGGTACACAGCAGTAAAAACTGGGATGGGAGAAGGATGGCACTCCCAGAGCAGCTGTGCCACAGCTCAGTTATTGCTTTAACTGCCCATGCCTGACTATCTCCTGCATGAATGTGTGGCTACCTTTGGCACAGACATGCTTTCCTTGGGGGTAGAAGGAGCTCATAAGGGGTCAAAGTTTCAAATTAGGTTTCATGCTGAGGAAGTGACATGATGATCTCAGCTCCTAGTAAGGCCACTGTGGGATGATGTTCAGCTCACATCAGGTTGCTTGTGAGCTTGGCTGACACTTCTGGAGCTGTGTGCTGTAGGTCTTCATGTGCCACAATGGAGAGGCTGCTCCCTGCCAGGCTAGGCACAGCCGGCCCAGCAGCGTGCCCAGGGATGTGGCACAGGGATAGCTCCCTGCAGGAGAGCTGTTTACCTCTGTTTGCCTCCTCACAGGGGAAATCACCTCCTCTTCCTCCTGTGACAGGGAAGGCTGGTGGCTCAGGGAACTCTGGAGACAGAGTCCATGCCCTGACTGCTTTTAATACAGATTTCTTTGGACAAGGCTTCTTCTTGATAGGAGAGAAACAGCATCATTCCTGAAGTTTCTATGCCTTGGCTTCTGCCTGCAGCCATTACCTTCTTCCCCCACTCCCAAGCCATGCTGCTGGGCTTCTTGCCTTGCTACACATCCAGAGACACAGTGAATACATATGTCCCCCTCTCTCCCTCGCTCTCCTGTGCAAGTTCTCTCACTCTCTCCCTCATTTCCCTCCCAATACACCCATGCCCTACCCCCTGACTAAAGCAAAATTTCCCTCTTTTTTTGGCAGCTGGCCTTCCCAGGGGCCCAGACTAACAGAAGCCTGAGCCCTGACTGACTGTGCCTTGGCCAGAGCAGAGTAGCTCTTTGCTGAGAGATAATGTTGCCTTAAAGGAGAAGGGATTTTTAAAATTTCCCTATCTGTTTCACTATCTTGCTTACCCCTTTGTTTCTAGGCTCCCATGAGGAGAATGATGCTTGTGCCTGGGACCTGCTGCCTCCCAGTCACCTACTGGGAGTTCCCCTCTTCCTGGACAATCTTCCTGCCTGCAGAGTTCACCTCTGAGCCAGGCCTCCCGTAGCTAAAGCAAACCTTGCTTTTGACTTTCTGCAAGCTCTGGATTTCTGCAAGGCCTTTCCAGGACTTGCAGCTTTCCTCCAGCTCAGCCCTTGCAAGCCAAATGATGAGGCTTCCAGGGCTTCTCCCGCGGGATGGCTCCAGTGCATGCATCTCACTGTCAGGAAGCTTTTCCTGACACTCAGCCTAAATTTTCCCCTTTTCAAATGTCATCCTGGCACTCCTACTTAGCATGCACTTTCTGTGCGTCTCACTCCCTCTGAGCAGGCTGTGCTTTTCCCTCTCCACTGCCTGGGCTCTTTCTGGTGCTTGCTGGCTGTCACCCACTTTTCTCGCACCCGCCTCAGCTTGGCCAGTCCAAGCACATTATCTTACAGCTCATTTCCCTTTATAAATCAAACCTCCCAGGCATTTTCCTCTCTTTTTTTTTTCCTAGTTCTTTCTTATTTTTAATTTTTTTTTTTATATTTCTCCTTTTCCCCTCTCCCCACCACACAGGAGGGATTTTTGGGTGTCTGCCCCATGGTTCAGAACATTTTTCTCTCTACTTTTACTGGCAAGGGTTTTAGTATAAAGTGCTGACATTTCTTTGTTGCTGTGGGCAGCTCCCTCTCAGAGTAATGAATGGCTGGAAATGGGTAAATGCACAACCAGAGGTCCTGGGAGCAGCCCAGGCAGGTGTCCCTCAACCTGTGCCTTGTTCATGCAAACTCTCCAGTACAGACTGAGATCCCACTGTTGCCTTCCTCTCTGTGGAGTCATGATCACTCACCCTTTTTGGACTCTTCCTGTGGATTTTGTTGATCTGAGGGTATTAAACCTCTGCTGAATTAGGTCTGTGTGGGCAGTGACCTTGAGTTCAGGGAGGATTGGAAATTAAGAGGGACAGGCTGTGCCTCATGGTGTGCACACATGAAATGGCTCCATGTGCCTCAATTCTTTACCAAGCCAGCCTGAATGTGCTGCCTGATGAGGAATAGAGCACCACCAGAATGGAAAAGGGTAAGAGACAGGTTGTTTTTCCTGCTGTGTGCAACTTCTTTGCTACCACATGACATGGGTTTTGTTCAGGATCAGGACTGGGGCTGAAGGGCTGAGCTGCTCTCCCAATTTGCAATGCCACTGGCATTGAGTTCTTGCTTTGCTGTAGCCAGAAAATGAAGGTTTCTCCACACAAAGCAACAAGCACGACCATGGAGGTTGCCATGACAGCTCTGAGGAGAAACTGGGTCAGCCCTGCAGCCCATGGAGGGGACCGGTCATGGCTGCCTGGGGTCACCTGCAAGCCCACAAGGGCAGATGTGTTCCAGCACTCATTACTGGCCTGACTGCACTGGTTCTGTGTTTTCTGGGAGGAAACCAAAGAGTTTCAAACTTGGTTACCATTTTAAAGTTAGTGTGGCTTAAATGGTTGGTTGGAACCCACACCACTGCCATGGCAACAGATACATACACTTTTTTTTTTTGGAACATGAAATGAGATCAACTTTTCTGGTGCATAAGTAACTCTTCAGAGGAGGAGATGCTGAGGAACTAGAATTAGGAATAACCTACAGAGGGAACTGGAGATATCAAGCCAGTAGAACTGAATACAGGATCATTTCAAAATTAAAAAGGAAGTCAAGGCTGAATAATGAGGCTGAGAAAGTGCTTTGGCCAGTAAAATTCCTTAAATAATAGCGTCCTCCATGGACTTAAGACCAGTTATGAAACACATCATTGGTTTCATGTCAAAATAGTTTTTCCAACAGATAGAAGTGCATGTTCATTGATTATTGATCCCTTTGGAGAATGTGGTCACAAGTGTTTCAGGAGAGCATTGCTGAGAATTGTGGAAAATTTGTCCTTTTTTCCAGCCATTTACCCTCATCACCTTCTATATATCCCGCTTGAGGGTATTATATTGATTTGTTAATTCTCTTTTTCTCTTCCTACTTGCCACTTGTGAGACAGAAGACACCAGGGATCTGGGTACCCTTCTTTAAGAACAGAAGGGACAGGTAAGGCACATCAAACAGTCCCTGCAGTGGAAGCCAAATTTACCATTGTTCCTTTCCTTTGTCATCACCATAATGCTGTGTAGAAGAACAGACAGTGATGGCTCACTTATCAGCAGTTTCATAACTGAGTAGTTTTAGGCTTAACTCCAGCTCTTTTCCTGAACTAGCTAAGGGTCCCTCCCATGAAAGACAGTCCTCCCTGAATTTCTGCAAGGTGAGTCCTTCCCATGGGCTGCAGTTCCTTATTAACTTCCCCACCATGGGTCCCTTCTGTGGGGTGCAATCCTTCAGGAACAGCCTGCTCCAGTGTGGGTCTCCACAAGGTCACAAGTCCTGCCAGCAAACCTGCTCAAGGGTGGGCTCTTCTCTCCACAGGGCCACAGATCCTGAAAGGAGCCTGCTGCAGCATCTGTTTCCCATGGGGTGACAGCCTCCTTTGGACATCCACCTGCTCCAGTGTGGGGTCCTCCACAGTGAATATCTGCTCCACTGTGGACCTCCGTGGGCTCCAGAGGCACAGCCTGCTCTCATGGGCTGCAGGGGAATCTCTGCTCTGGCACCTGGAGCACCTCCTCCTCCTCCTTCACTGACCTTGGTGCCTGCAAGGCTGTTTCTCTGACATATTCTCACTCAACCTCTCCAGCTGCAGTTGCTCTCATGTGTCAACTTTTTCCCCTTAAACAGAGGCGCTACCACCATCAGTGATGGGCTCAGCTTTGGCCAGCTTCAGGTCCATTTAGTTCTGGCTGGCAATGGCTCCATTGTACATGGGGGAAACTTCTGGCGGCTTCTCACAGAGGCCACGCTTAGAGCACCCCGCTACAAAAACATTGCCATACAAACCAAATACACTGTCTTGGCCATCATCTCCCCTCCAAATTAATCTGAAAGCATTTCTTTCCAATGTTTTTAGAATCCCAGGAGGGATCTTAATCCCTTTATCATCCTCCTCAAGCAAAGTGTACCTGGGGTGCTGGATGGCTGAATAACCTCTCATGCACTGAGAGCCATTAGCATTTGAATTAGTGACATGAGGCTAGCAAGCGATTATCCCATTTAACAGCTGTTGAGTGCTGTTGAAGGGACACCCTCAAGAAGAATGAACAAAAATGTAGTGAATTTTTCTCTTTTAGTAAGGGTTTTCCTGCCTTGTATGAATATTGACATGCTTGAAAAGCAGTGCATTTTCCACAGAGACATCTTATGATTGTTAAACGTCTTTCCTGGGGAGAGCTGAACACCTCAGTACATCTACAGCATGTCAGCAGATGAGAGTGAGAAAGTGGCACTGTCCCCAAACAGGAAGGGAAGTGGTCCTGCCTATTTGGGAAACAGGCTAAACCAAGCATAAAGAGAACAGTCATAAGAAAGCTGCAAAAAGAAGCAGAAGTTAAAGCATCTCCTCCTCTCTAGAGCACTTCAGCCATAAGAGATGTGCCTGGGATGGGCCTCACTGCTATTCTTCTAGGTGGAAATGTGACTGCTTCAAGGGGCAGGAGGAGTCAGGCAGCAGTTAGAGCCCCCAATGTGATATAAAAGATGAACAAAAACGCCCTCTCTGAGGATGTGACTACATGCAGAGAAGTGCATTTTGAAATTGTAGGACCTATCAGACATACAGCGTAAGGAAGCCTTTCTGTATGCAGGGCATTTCTGCAAAAGAAGACAAAAGGAATTATTGCAGTTTTTAGTGCAGATAAATCTCTCTCTCCTGGTACAAGACTCCATTTCTCTTGACTGTATCTTAAGAAAAAAGCCAAGTACCAGTCCTCATCATCACAAGGGAGTGCTGTCTGGGCTGCTGCATTGAAGACATTAAAACATGACTGTCCCCAACTCCCACTTGGAGTCTTGAACATGACTCATTTCAAAGCTCTGCCTTTTAGAGTAAGCTGAAGGAGCTGAGGATGCCATGCTTTCACAAGGATTCACCTATGTCACATCCCACTGGGATACTGGTAACTTCCCTCCCAGCCAGGTCAGGTCCCTCATTCAGATGTGTTGTTGATGCCTGATCCCCTTTCTAAAAGCTGTCTTAGCCTTGAGATGTTTGTGGAAAGTTGACTTCATTGTCCCCCCGAGGATCAGCATCTCAGAGAAAACAGAAATAACCCCCTCCTAGGCTTTTGTCTTCAGTGGAGAGTGAGTGGGACAGTCATGTGTGAGAAGTGAAGTGGCTTTTTTGTCCCGTTGTGATTCAAACCTGATCGCAAGACGTGTACTTTGGGGGTGGTTACCACTGCAGAGTTAGAAAATTAGTTTAAAACTGTGAGGTTGTCCCTGGGGCAGAAGTGATGAGAGTGGGCAAACAGAAATATTTTCCCAGTCTTTTTTGTGGAACTGGAAGTTTTCGTTTCCTTTAGACTTAAGGGGGATAAACATTTTCTAACAAGCCTGAGGATTTTATGGGTTACAAGATTTTTCTGCTTAACTTTTCAATCTTTCAATACAATTTTTGTTTTCTCTCTCACTAATTTTTTCTTTCTCTTTGAGTAAACTCCCTTTGAGGTGTGGGCAGTGGCAATATCCAGGCACAGGTGAGGATATAGAAACATTTGCACTGTTAAATAACATCCTTCTTATTATTTCCTCCCTAATTATTTTTACCCTCTGTGATGGCCACTTACAGTTTAATGAATGTAAGCATTATTTCCATACAAAGCGGTGGTAGTAACAAAGATGAAGGCGCCTCTTTTTAACATTACTTGTTTCTAAGCAGGCCTTTCTCATACCATCCTTACCACTTATCTGACCAGTAAATCTGCAAATACATGCAAATGGTATTTACTGTGTTGTTACATGTACCTTGAAGCAGATGGTGAGCCAATACCAAAGCTCACATTTTTATACCTTTATGCAGCATCTGGGGAGCTGGATTAAATTCCTGCCCTGCTTGGGGCTTCACACAGACCTCTGCCTCTATGGCAAGTGACTCACAACTGCTGCCAATCCCAACTGCATTGTTTCAGGGTATTTTTCTTCATACAGTATGAATAAAAGAATGATGACAACACTTCCTCCACCTCCCTGTCCCCCCTGCCCACAAGTAATATTTCCAAAGAGCCATGCCAAGGTTTTGAGCCATTATTGTGCGTGCTGCTGGTGTCTCAGTCACCTGGGTGCCCTCCTGCTTTTTCCATGCTCTGTGGCCCAGCTCAGCTGATATTGCAGCATCCCTGGGCGCTGTGTGTGGGCTGTACAGTGAGGCAGATGCAGGGAGCTGGGCGTGCTGCAGGATGGAACCCAGGCCAGAGTGAGCACTCTTTGCTCACTGACATGGAAAAAAGAGTGGGAAGCACTGTTCTAGGATGTGAGCTGAGCTTGCAGAAAGACTCCTGGTGACATTAAACCATCTGAAGGGCTGTTGTTAATTACTGTAAGGAGATCAGGCAGGTCTGTCCTGTAACCAGGGCTGGTGGCAGGCTGTGTGGGACTTGGGTGACCCTGAGACATCAG